TGATTCGCGTGTAAGTGTGTGGTATGTGTTTTCATTCGGTTCATGCGACATCGTCGATATGAATTCCCCGTTTTCCCTTTTGTTTCTCCGCCATCCTAACGAACAAACAGTCCCAAGGCGTCTCTAAACAATGCTCTCTCGATACGGTTCTCGTTATTTAAAAAGGAAAAAAATTGAAAAAAAAACAGAAACGAATAACGAGCAACTGAAAATCGCCAATTGTGATTTGTGAAGGTGCCGATCACACGAATTAACAAAATTGTTTCTAGCCATTCGAATACTAGGGAGGCGAACTCAGAGTGATAGCCCGAATAGGCAAATGTACTGTCACGATGACGACGGTGAGGATGATATTTCTAGAATGTGAAATCAAAGAGATCCGAAAGCCCTTCCTCCGTGCCTAACGAGAACGAATAGTCGTTTTCTGAGAGAGGCGGTTCCAGGGGCAGCAGGTGTTCTCCGAAATCGAGAAGATTTAGATCTGCAACAAAAGAGAGAGAGAAAATGCTGGGCTTGTCCTGTGCTTACAACCACCCCTTGCTCTCAGACTCCACCTATACTCTGCTCTCTAAGCTATTCAAAAAAATCTGAATATTTGAAAATCTGAAACTATATACTCTTAGTAAACTGAAAAAAGAATAGTATTCGATAGGATAATCTTTTGACTGGACTGTATTGGCATCTATGTTGAAATATAAATAATGTACGAGTAAATAGATAACAGTTGATTAGATTGCAAAGTCATTTTATTAGAAACAGTTCTATAATACTGAAGTAAAATCTAAATGCTACGTAGAATTAAAGCACAAAGCATAAAGGTGTTTTTCATAGAAGCAGAAAGTAAGTGTGCATAAATAGCAGCACAGTTTCACTAGAAAAGAGGAGCACAAATAAGATAATAATCATTTTGTCATTAAAACGTACCTTCACGCGATACGAGCTTTGTTGTTTGAAACCGTCACCTAACTAGAACTCTGCCTGTGATGTGATTTTAATTGTTGTAACACACAAGTCACAGCCAGAGCTCCATCAGGGCACGGCTATCCTCCATTGTTGAAAAGGCAGAGGACATTGAGAGAAAGGTAGCTGGAGCCAATAATATCATGGAACAGTTGATGGAAATCGGCTCTTGCTATCTTTCTTTCGAAAAGTTTGCTTTCTACAAAAAGATATGGATCCCTTATTAGCATGCATCACGTTTCTTTCAAGCTTGTAAAATTATGGTACTGAAGTTGTAGATTTATTGTCATCTACAACATGTTTTATTTGCTTGTGCAAGAATGAAACGTTTTAGTTTTTTTTCTTTTTAAATATTTCGGAAGTGTAGGAAAAGTTGGAGTGCGAAAAGCATTTATTTAAAAATCGAAGAAACCAAAAAATTGTAAAGATACAAACAGATTAACAGAAAACGTTACAAAAATTGCAGTTGAAAGTGAAGCATAGATTAGTAAATAAAGGAAAATATATAAAATTTTAAGCGTCGTTGAAACTATCAACTTATAAATTAACAACAATGAAAAAATTAAAGGAAAAAAACCTAAACAAAAAACAAGAAGGTGAATATACACTCGATTTGTTTTTATTCAAATACATGATTCAATAAATTTCTCTTTAATTTTGCCATTAATTAAAACTATTATATTCACCTTATTGTGAAGCGATAACAACACTTATGCCCGAAATTTGCAACAAGATGTGGTAGTATATACAAAAGCATACATGCAAAGAAAAGCAAAACACACAATATTATGCATTGAATTTTGGAAAATAAAGAAATAAAAATAAACAACATTAATTTTAACATGATACAAAGAAACGTTACATTTGTATATAATATTTTTCAAAAGTTTTCTCAAAACTTTCATTAAAAAAGAAAGCATCAAAAGTGAGAGATAAATTTGAGTTAACCTTAATTTAAAAGACATACGCAATCCTACCTGGAGTGCTAATTTGATCCTCTGTCTGTAATTGGAACTTGCCACCTCCCATTGGTCCATAATCATCGGATTCACATAACAACGCGTCCCTCGTGGATGCAGTTGGAGTACACAAACGAGTATTCAACGAACTCTCGACAGAAGGTACTGGTTCTACCCGAACCCCACTTCCTCCATTGGCCAACAGTTCAGGAGGCAGATAAGGTATGTCGGATTCTTTTGACGAAGGCACAGGTTGCGTCGCCGTGTACCCCGGATTGGGAGACGTTTTAACTGAAGGGTCATCAGGACAGAGGAATACTTCTATTTCCCCATGAGATGACCTCATGTGCATTTGTAGCTGTAATAATATTAATAGTATTACATAACGATATATTTAATACGAGTATTACTTCTTGCACAATAGATTAAAGAAACAATTACCTTTTGTTGACCAAGATTATTGATAGGTTGCGGAACGTGGAGAGTTGCTTCTGGTGGAGCCTTTACCGCCATTATAGCCTGGTCTTTGTACATTGGAACAGAACGTAAATCATGATACGTTACATAAGCGTATTGTCTGTCTGCGCAGAGTTCCCTAAGGTTTTTGTCTGCACCATGAATTAATCGATCCAAAGTGTTTTCCTTAGCTTCTAAGTCCGCCACTTCTCGTCTGAGATCAGCAATATCGTTCCTGTCATTTGGTAACTGACCACCTCTATAACATGTAACGATCACGATTAATTTTTATTTACACGAATCCTCTTTTTTTGTATTTGCTTCAAAGTGAATGAGGTACAACGTACTTCCACTGAATATTGTTTTTACTTTTTTTCTCCAGAATTCCTATACCCTCCAACACATTTGTAATATCATATATACGACGTTTCTGTACTTCCAATTTTTCAGATGCTACATTCAAATCTACAACACCATCCTGACTGCTTTCTACTAAGTGTATGAATTTTTTTGTAAGTAAGCTCAGTGATGTATCATACCGTGTCCTTTCTACTGTTTTACCTATAAAAAGAATATAACATTTCTCCCTCTCTAACAGAAACAGAACAATGTATTTCAATATAAAAAGAAAGTGAAACTCACTTTTGGTAGGTGTGTGACCAGTTATAGAACTCGATCCAGATCTCCTACGTTTACCTCTAGGGGCCTTAAAGGCAGATTGGCTGGGACCTGTTGTTCCCATTTCCAAATTCAGTCTTCGTTTCACTGCCTGAACTGAAATTTGCTATGAAAACAAAGATAATTAATTAACGTTAATTTTTGAGAAACTCAAGTAGGGTGTGAAATTTTTAGTATATATAAAAAAACTTGTTAAATATTAATCATGTGGTTAATAGAAAAATGTTATACGGTTCAAATATTTTCTCATTGCAAATGTAATGTTATTTACTTCAGTTCGAGGTGGTGGTTGTGTGGGTTTTCTTGTTACTTGATAACAAGGTGTTTGTCCATATTGATGATCTTGAAGATGAGGACTTGGTGTCTCTTCAGCCACCTTTTGTGCTTGTACTTCGTCCAATGAGCCATCGTCCAAAAACTCTGTTTTTACTAAAAGTGATAGATCGGCATATAAATCTATGGACACATTGGACTATATATGTGAAGTAATTTACAGTTCATACATACTTAATTTGGTCTCTACCATGTCTGGTGTAACAGGCCTGGCAGGATCTTCCAAGACCACTTGTCTCCTTACTCGAGGCATTTTTTAATTTACAAGAATCTATAACAATTATGAGAGTAAGCGTAGAGTAAGATTATAAAGACATAATCTCATAGTAATTACTAAGTTTACAGTTACAAATTAGTAACTGTTTGAAGTTTGAAGAAATTAATTAAGTTTTTATATCATCCTACTAGAAAGTTAGAGTACAAAATAAACATGAAAAAATATGAATTATTAATTATAACACATTAATGTACAGATTATTAATATTAAGGAATACTGTAAATGAGAGAATATGTTATGTTTAGAACAGTGTAATCTTGGATTATGTAAAACAATTTTGTTTGTCAATTATTTGAATAGAAATCAAATATTTTATTAGATACAAAATAAAAGATACATTCCTATAACACTTTATGAAGTATATTCTTCATCAAATAAATAATTATATGCATTTAACATTTATTTAATTTTCATGTATTATTTGTTCACATTAATGTGTTCAAACCACCGTGAAATTAACGTTAGCTTAACGATCATAGATTTAACAATAACAGTTTCTTGTCTAATTTCGACTTGAAATGTCGAATTCTCAAATATTTTCAGAAAATGTGTACATTCTAATATCACCCATGAAGGTTAATGGGTGTACACCATTCTGGCAGCCACGTATTTTTCACGCTGTTCCATAATACCGGGAAAAAGTGTTTATTATCTTTGATATGAAGCCACTTATTATTTATGTAATGAAATATCAACGTGGAACAGCGTGAGGTTAAAACATAACGTTCGACAAAAAGATTAATACCTCGATAACCTTGTCAACAATATGCTTTATCAAAAATACCATTTGTATATGAAAAGTATCGACAGAGAGGGGTGCAGATCCAAATAAAATTTCTATCGATTTCGTCCCTTCATTCTCGGCTTTTTCTGAACGCTAACCATTACCGAGTGAATTTTATTCAGTCGAGATAGCACATTTAAGGAGAAGTGACTTTTTTGATGCATATCAAAGAACAGACAGCATAGGGAAGAACCTTTCTGTTCTCGAATCAAATAACATTGGTAGAACCTAATAATAGAACTTGAATTCCAAAGAACTTCACATGTGTCTCCAGGGAGAAAGTGACAAAGTTTAATATTAAAATAAACGACGAACACAAACATGTTATCATGATTCAACAACTTAAAATTATGCGATCAACGTAACATGCACGCGTGGAAATAGTAGATTTCAAATAACGATACGAAATTCATGTTTTTCTTATACGGTACTATGTAATTTTTTTATTTATTGGGTCGTAACATAAACACGTTCGGATATACTAAATATTCTTTTTGTTTTATTGGCTTCGCACACCACTGAAATAATAATGCTGAATTTAAATCAACCAGATATGGTTCCTGTTATTCAGCACGTTTATACGCAATTTCAATAAGTCATAAATAAATTCTCAAAAGTAGAATATGTTCGTACTTCCAATCAGATTTACTTACGTTACTAGCTAATACAAATTAAACGTAACATTGTGTTTCATGACCTGCAGCTAGTAGATGAGAACAATACATTGTGCGTAATACGACAGCAAAAGAGAGAAATTATAAAACAGTCGAAACTTCATCGCACACAAAAATACATAACTAAACGGAAGTTGTGGAAGAAGCGGCAAGGTGACGATTCCACAAAAAAAAGGGGCATCCGATGAAAATTACAGTATCATTTCTATGAAGTCAGTCCTCGAGCATGGGCGTATAACTGTACGCGATGAAATAAAGTGAATAAAAATGAACTGAAAGAGAAATTTTCTTTATTTTTCTTTTGCATTATACAATTGTTAAAAAAACGATATGATGCCAGTAGGTGATTACCCGAAGAACAACTGAATAGACAAAAAAGGAAGATTAAAAGTGGAAACAACTTTCACAGTCTGTTCAAATTAAGACGATGAACGCGATTACGAGAAGAAAAAGCGAAATTTATAGGGAAAAAAGATGCTTAAAACACAATAGCGCAACACGTATCGTTGAAATTTTTGAAATAAGTCACTGTCAAGTGAAAACTACCCAGTAATCGGATTCATCGCCAACTTTCGTGCAAGTTTCATGATGCAGTAAGAATTCATCCTTCGGGAAAGAGAGAAACGAAAACGAAATGTCCGCGAAAAAGAGTGGAGGAAACGGATCCTAAGGCCCCCGTTTTCAAAAGGCTGGTTACGCGCCTGAGCAGACCCACAGTGCGGCCGTACACGAGAATTTTCGAAAAAAAGAGCAAGCGTCTCGAGAGCACGAGGCAGCGTTCCGGGTGTGGTTTAAAGAGGCACGCCGCAGGATCGTCGTGTTACAGCAGCCTTGCGTTGTAAGCAGTTTTAGAAGCGAACTCCCATTCGAACTGCGTGGTTGTCTCATTTTCGCGTGTTTGGCCGGGTACACACGGCCGGCGTTCGACGGGTTCGCGGGGCCAATAGCACGGTAAAGCGCATTCGAAGGTTGGGAGCAATGCACGATGCGGAGGCATTGATTGGTAGGATGTTATCTCGAAGATAAAACCCGACTAGTGTAACTCTTGCCGGGCAGACGGCCGTTGGACGGAAAACTAGCGTGGCATCGATTGGTAAAACCTCTTTATAAACGCGATGTATAATCATACGGAGCCGAGCGTCCAGTAACAAGACACAACAATAATAATAATAATAAAAATCCTTGTCCCCTGTACGGGAGCATTTTTACAGTTGATCGAGCATCGAAAATCTGAAAAGTGTGCCTGGCTGCGAAGAGAGCACAGAAAATGCGGTACGAGTGTCTCGGGATGATGGGTTTCGTTGCGAGTAAACGGGGCATGCCTCGTGTGTACGAGGCTTCAGGCCCCAGATGTTAGCGACGAACCTTACTGTCCCCCTTTTTTTCCTCGGCTCTTCCGCTCGTAGAAACCGCACAGGTCGCGGGGTCTCTATCGACAAGACCCAGATCGGCCCCTTTCTCTTATCATAGGCGAAGTGGAAAACGCGCGTAGATCGACCACCCTGACTCACACGTACATAGTGACCGCGATCAGCTGTTAGCGTTGCTAGCAGGCTCATGAGTTCGTCGGTTTTTTGCCCGTGTTTCTTCTCGTCGAATGTCGCGTGAACGAACGTGTTACCGGTCACCGAATAAATAACAAATGAGAGGTGATCGCACCGAGCCCGGCTATGCGTACTCGCGAAATCCACACGGTACGCACCGAAGCGGCCATGCATACGGGAGCGGACAAGCGAGCGAGCGAACGGACAAAACGAGGGAGCGCGATTATGCGAGTGCGTGCGCGCGCGCGTACTCACGGACACATACAGTGAGCAGCCGGGGTTCCCGACAGAGAGATATACTCACACGGAGAAGCATAGGATTCGCACGCGATGCGCAGAGCCGTTTAAAGAGCCAAGCCGGGACTAAGGTATCCCTAGTTAGGCGTGCTACCGGCACGGTCATGAGGAAACGTAGGAATCGGTGCACGCTTTCGCGATTGATCGCGAGAGATGCCAGCCGACTTTCGACGCGGCGAATCAGTCGCGCTCGAAATAACGGTCCCCTTTTTCTTTTCTGTCTAGGCGCGCTTCAGTGAGCATACCACCTTTTCCACGATCGTGGAAAAGGAACACGCTGCGTGCGTGTACGCGGCACCACGATGAAACGCTCGGCTAGTACAGTCTAGCTGGGCAGGAAGGGAAGGAAGAGGCGGGGGGTTCGGCACTCTGCCGCCTCGTATTTCGAGACGATCCGGTATTCTCATGGGCCACAAAATAATTTCGAACAGGAAGGTTGTGGACAAGGTTCGCGCGTACCGTATTTTTTTCTTTTCACTTACTTGGCTCTCGAGCGTGCGGCACAAAACCGCACAGTATTTTGAGACGGAGGCTCACGCTCTCTTCCGGGAGGTTCAGCCAGCACACGGCGCGGCGCGTGTCACAGCACCGACGAGCGAGGCATATCCTTGCCTCCTCGATGGCAAATACGTCGCCGTCGTGGCCGTGATCGTTGGTTGTCGCAACGTCGATACTTCTAGACGTGATTTTCACTGAGCTCTGTCGATGACAGGACAGATAAACGTGGCCTGGACGACGAGAGTGAACCCGGTCCTCCCGAGGCCGACGTGCACCGATGTTTCTCTTAGCTTTTTCTCCTGGATATCATGTACACACCATACATACGATTCACTCCCTCGCCCTGTCACGTTTTTCTCTCCCTATGTATCTGCTTATACCCGTGGTTGTCGTCGTTGTCGTCGTTGTCGTCGTCGTAGTCGTCGTTGTCGTCCTCCTCCTCGATGGTAGTTGCGTGGCCTTTATTTCTCTCTCTCTCTCTCCCTTTCCCTGTGTGTTTAGAGTGTACGTGTGTGCCTGTCTTTCTCTCTCTCGCTCTCTCTCTCTTTCGCTCTCACTTTCTTTCTCTTTCTTATATATCTTTCTGTTTCACTTTGTCTCTCTACCGCACTGGTGCGGTGTCCATTTTCTGCGGGGCCGATCACGGCAATAGGAACGACAGCCAAGCAGACTGGGGGCCCAAAATAATCGGGTGCAAGGGCCGAGCCGTACGGGCGATCGTCGTGTTTTCAGGTTCCGGGGAATGTAGAGGTTCGAGAGTTCACGATAAGCCCCGCCTCGACATGATCGGTCGAGCCACCGGCAAGGAAAACGAACCTTTTCTGTCCGGGGTGTCGCGCGCGCACACGAGGCCGGCTCGTGAGCTGGGCGATTGGATGGACGGGGCTCTGGCTGGCGCGCTGGCAACTGGCTCGGGCTACGAGGCAGTAGACCCGCCTGTGCCGGTAGTAGTAACACCGAACCGCGTGTCCGTGCGCTCTACTGCGCTCACAACGGCACGCCCGGTGTCACTGTGTCGGTGGCCTTCTACCAATGTTCCGGCACGTTCCTGAACGAGTCTCTGTCACAGTGGTAGTACGTGCTTAGGCGCCTGTCATGTGTCGGTGCGTTCGTGGACGCGCGCCTATAACGTACCGGCGCACCGGCCATCTGCCGGTCGCACACAGGAGTCGAGTACGCGCGCCAAAACCATCACTTCGCTTTTCTCCGTAACCACCGCGCCGCCAGCTATCACGGATATATCCAAAATGTTCCTAGACCGTGCCACCTTTCGATCGTTTCCCACGAGGTTTGCCTTTTAATCGGCACGCCGTCGGTTCGCTTTCCCCCGGCCTGCCAAGGAGACGACGTTTCCTCAACTTTCACGACGATGTTTGTTTATGTGGCTTAGGGTTAGACGGTCGGCGGGCAACACAGAACGTTGGACTTTTTCGGTTACACAGGCTGCAGTCATTTGAACCGTGAACGCACGAGAAAAACAAAGGATCCATGAGTCGGCGCCGTGGGTTTCCGCAGATGCAACGAGCACACGCGCCAAAACTGTTCCCCTTAGTTTTCCACGAAACTGCCACGCAAGCTCCGAGTCGTGTAGGTGAAAAATCCCTATGCCCCCGACTTTCACGCGACACGATCGTATTCGGTAGTTCGGACACACGTTTCTGACATTCCGCGATGTTTTTATATATTGTCCTTTCCGGATTATTACCGTTTCAGTCCGCCATGGTCAGGGGTGTGCGCTTTCCGAACAATCGTCCACGCTTGATGTTGGCAGTGAGTCCCTTTAACGTGGGCCTTATCACGGATGAAAGGGGGCAGAAAGGAAACGGATTACAAACACACTCTCGAATTACGTAATTGTTGTAACCGTTTGATTCTATTTCCTCGGCTACACACACTTCCGATGATTGGGAGGATCCCGATGCCTGTCGTTTCTTGCCCGAAACTGAGCGGGCGGTCGCCGCTTCCTTCACGATGGAGGGGTGTCGGACGCAGGGCCGTACACTTCGCACGTGTAAACGTTGGCCTAATTTTTCTTTCCGTTTCGCATCACGTACAAATGTCTTCGAGATTAATTGATCGTTTATATTCTAGATTAATCCTTGCTGATCCATCTGCTTTGAAATTTCATATGTACAACAATTTCATTATCTTTCAGCCTGTTACTCGGTCGATGAATAGTTTTATTGACAAGAGCATAAAAATCGCATCTTTTTATTGTACACTTATAAAAATATACAAATCTGAAATACATTATACATTTGATACATATGTATATATATAATTTATATATAAAACAATGAACAACTGTCCAGGGTTAAATATAATAAATAGAATCACAAGAAGGTATTCCTTATCCTTATATTTAAAAATACTTGGAAAAACTGGCGCCGGGGAAAATTGTTCGTTAGCGGTGAATCTCGTGAACCGTAGGGTTCCAGGATACCTTGGCATGTACCTGAGATAGGTCGGCAAGAAGGGAGCCCGGTGTTTTCTTCGTAACGTATTTATTTGAACCCTACGCAACTACAAAAGGATCGTACCCTACGCAGGGCGTAAGGGAGGTATACCCTCCCTTCCTGCCTACTCCCGTATCCATACGGTCATCCCCACTTCTGTATTTGAAGTATTAAACCAAGCCAATTTCTAAGGACACGCCAAGGAATCAAACGTAACACCGTTCGGGCACGAACAGCTATATGTCCACGATGACGAAAACTTGGGGCTGTTCTGATTCCGGACGGTCCAGTATTTGCATCGCCGAGTATGTTATGGCTTTTACCTCGGCGTTTTGTGTGTGCTTACCGATGGTGAACTCCTCCCCTAAAGCCATCGCAGTGATCTTGTAATTCTCTCGGTCGAATTCGGTGATCTTGACTTTCTGACAACACAAACCGACCATTCTTAGAAAAGACTTTGGTTTATCAGCAAAGACAATACAAGATGGATATGGAAAGGCTGCAACCACTCAGAAAACTTAGGTCCACGGGGGAACAAGTGAATCAACACGTGTGCGAAACACGTGTCTTTTAAGAGCAGTAACATCTGGAGAGGAGGCTTTACACGTAACGGTTTTTCGAATGTTCGTAAAATTAAATGTACCTTCGCGACGAGAAACGGCTCGGCGCTGAATATAAATAACAGCTCGTCAAGAAAATGGAAAAGAAGGCTCTCCATGTCGTGTCCTTCCGCCTCGATGTAATTCACCTGGGTCATTTGAACCCGCTCTAAATCCGTCATGTACCCAAACATGGCCACCGCGCATTGCTCGAAAGCTTCTTGCAAAGTATCGCCCCACGCGTGCAGCCTACGATGCGTCATGATCATTACACGAATTTTTATTAGAACGAGCGGTTAATCACGTCGACACGATTCGTCGATACGTATTTTTCCATTCTGCTCGATAGGAACGATATTATTCCTCGTTCCATTTAGCGTTTTAGGTTATCCATGCGAGTAACCTCCAAAACGTACCGGTGTTCATCCCGTACGCATTTATAGTTCTATACTTACTGTACATCCGCAGTGTGGTCCAGATCTGAAAATGAAATATTCGAACTTGAATCCTTTTTATTTACTTCGCGGAATCGTACGTAAGTGCAACTATAAAAGTTTGGGAGTTGCAGTCACACGTGTGGCAAAATGGAGGCTGGTACTGTGGCGCGCCGGCTGCCGATTATATTATTCTAACGCGATTCTAGCCTCTTTTTCATGGATTCAGTGCCTCGTTTTCAATATAATGCGGTACAATTACTTACATTCGTATTTCGCCGGTGGTATCACAAAATCTTCTTCCTTGAGCGCGTCCATGATTGCGCACAGCTGATCTCACGTACGTGAATAACCGATCAGCTGATTCTCTGACAGGTTTAATCAATGGCGGTTCGGCTTTACGTGCGCGAGATTTTACTACGTAGATGGCGCTACGTAGAAGGATAGTTTGTAATCTGCATACCGACTGAGTAAGGTCGGTATATGTAAAATTTATTGCAAAAATAAAAAAAATGTCATTAAGTAACAATACGATATTCCTTTCTTATAATTACAACGCAAGAATCATATAAAAATGTTCAAATTAAACATCAATTATTTCCAATCGATTTTACTATTCGTCGATCGTGAAATAGATCTTACATTTCATCTGGAATTTAGGAATTTGGAAAATATTTTTCATTTAGTGTTTAGTGAGAGAAGAAATGTGAAATTTCGAAATGATTTGTCTAAATAAAGTAGATATTTTATGATTGATTTGCATGGACCGCTTCAGACGCAGCAACCTCCGGCAACTGCAGTCGTTGCACTTGCTCTGCCAGCCGCAGAATGCGGGTCATTCGAGTGTTTACAAATCGCTGTGCGAGAATACGCGCGATTGAACACAGATTTCGAGCCTGTGTCATTTTGCGGCGTATTAGTTTCCATGATAGCAACAATCACCATCCAGTGAGCGGTGAACCGGGCAGCCGGCCTGCAAATGCTAACCAACAGACCTACATATTTTTCTTCTGAACGAGCACGAGATGCAAGCTACGCGATTTATCAAAAACCAGAGACTCGCGCGACGTTAGTGGGGATTCTTAACTGCAATTTTGATCGGAATTTCCTTTATGAATGCGAACATGAACTATTCTCGTATAATTCACTTGGCGACTAAAATTAAACGCACAATATTCAAAACAAGATGATATTCTGACCAACTTTTCCGCAGTTTCTTATTGCAGTGAAAGCTGGACGACCGCGTCGGCTACGAAGCGAATAAAAATGTAAACTTCAATTTTCGCGGAACAGTTCTAAGCCTCTCACTTCAATTCGGCTTGCCAAAAATGGGGATAGCCGTGCAATCTTTGCACATTTTGCAGCATTTCCTTTCTAGTCTACTTGCGTCACGCCCGATCCTGGGTGCACGTTCGTTTCACCAAACTTCGACCACCTCCCTGCTACGAACGAAAAAAGGAAATAGGGTATTGAGCGAAGTTTTAATTGAGCATCAACTTAATGAACGTTTCACAGTGGCGACGCTCGAGCTGGCGTCCTTTGTGCGGACGATTAACTGTGCCGATCGATCGGGCACGAGTGAGAGTCAAACTGATCAGGCATGTATGTAGTACAGTTTCGTTGTCCCTTTTATTCTTTGTCAGCCGCGTCTTGATCAAAACTAGTTTCTCATATCGACGCTATGTGATCCAAGGGCGTCCACTTCGAACGCTCGTAATCCCTGTTACATAAAACTGCGTAGACGGTACCGTAGGAGATTCGCTTAGGGACGCCAAGGCGCTCCCGTCATCTGTTTACAGTATCGTTTTCAACGGTAACGTGTCGTCGTCGACACAGTCGCAAGGTCACAAGGTCACGGATGCCTACTTTTACCTGCACGCAGGTGTAATTTACGCGCGAGCACCAGGAAACCGCAGGTTCTGTCTCCCGATCGTGGTTAGGTTTTTAATCGGTTCGGCTTCATTTTCGTGCCTGCCCTCGAACGTAACCTACCATCGCTGGCGAATGCAACTGCACGATTGCTCGATTGCTCGTTATGCGAGATCGCGATCCACGCGCATCAACTCTTTTTATCTGATTAGCTCGGGAAACAAAGGAATTCAAACAGCTCGGCGTACATAAAATTAGTGCTCGTTGAATTTTTATATTGCTTGTCATTTGTTTTTTTATCAGATCCGAGCATTCTTTTGCTTATCGAAAAGTATAGCGATATTCGAAAGCAATCTAGATAATGGAGCTCGGTGGAAATTTGGTCGAGCGATTTGAATACTGCTACGCGATAAACTAACCTCGAACAAAAAAATTCAATGGTTTGATATTATGTTGAAGAGACGTATTGGAGAATGCGGTTACAATTAGACCACGCTGGAATGAGATTTCAAATATGGCTGCGACCATTTCGGTAAATTCAATGTCGCGAGAAGCTGTACTGATTGGAAAGTCAAATTGTAACCGCAATTCGAAACAACGGATCTGTGTCCTGCTTATATAGCTGTGTTCTAGCGACTTTCACAAATATTTACGGTTTGCTAAATGTATACAAATTCATCGATAAATTTGTTCTTTTTGAGTATTTGCGATAATAAAATATCTTATAATTGTTATTGCCCTGTGAGAATTGTACCCTTAACGACAATAGCTTTATTCAAAAAGATATTCACTGGTTTAGACAACCGTAGTACAGACATCAGGCAAAGCGAAATCTTCAATTTGTATTTACGGAGTAAACACGCTGTTCACCGGAAGTTTTTATTACACGGTCAAATGAGTTATCCAATATCGTCCCTATCAATTTCATACTCGATTCCCATGGTGTAATTTCGTGCAATGTTTTGCCGACGAACGTTTGGACATGCATCAACCGGAAACCTGTTATCAAATATTGTTTACCACGCATTGTGAGCAGCACAGAGTCGCGAAGCAGTAATTAGAAGAAGAATTCAAGTCTGAACCAGCATCATAATGAAAGGATAAAACAGATTTCCAAAAACTGCACTGCTTCCAAGAACGGTCATCGCGTGAGCAACCTCACACACTGTGCAAACCGAGAATTTCAACTAACCTTTACTCATCGTGTTCGCAAATATTACGCAACGGTTATATCAAGGGAGGTGCGTGAAAGATATTGACGACACAGGAAATTTCGTCGTAACGTCTAATAGCGTCTTGAGAAAGATAGGAAAAGAAACCTAGAACTTAAATGGAAATCTCGTAATTTAACCTGGAATTTCGAAACGTATTTTCAAAACTGGAAACAAATCTCGAAATTCATGGCGCTAACATTTTTCAAACTTCTTAAGTTCATCTTTCAGACAAATATCTGAAATTCATTAGTAACCATTTTTAAATAAACGAATCCAATTTCTAGAAAATCTTTCAGCAAAAAGAATCTTTTGTAACGCTGTCTTCTTCATACTTCTTACAAAAAAAAGTTGCTGTCCCTACCAGGCACGGCCAAGTAAGGCGTTCCAAGAGGATCACCCACGATTCCATCATCCCTATCGCTAGAACAAATGTAAAATACCTTCAGAATACACAAAATAGTTCCATACCAGCCAAAATATCCAGTTTCCGTCCAATTGCTCCATGCGTCATCGTTCCTGCCGAACGGTCAAGAGTTCTAGTTCTGAATAAGCAGTCGCGGGTAACGAGGTGGCGCGACAAAAATAATGTTACAGAAGTGGTAGAAGGTAAACAAGCGTGGAAATTATTCCAATAGCGGTTCCGAGAAACGCTGGGGACGAGAGGCGGGTGGGTAACAGGGGAGGAACGCGCGAAAAGCCGCCACGATGACGATAGGACGGACGGTTTGCCCGATCGTAGACAACCAAGCCCGGGATGCCGATGCAGTGACAGAAAAGCCGAGGCAAGATCTCCGACAGCCTCCTTCGGCCCCCGGTGACTAGTCGGCAATGGTAAAACCTAACAAAAGAAGAGCGCGTAACGCATTCCCCAGAATTCTCTCCCGGCCGAGTTCCAACCTCGTGCGGCAGGCACCTGGTGCACCGCCGTGCTGCTTCTTGCCTCTCACGTGTTGGCGCGCTTTAATGACATGCAATTTTGCAACGTAGTTTTGCCCGGAGTCCTTGGCGCTGGAAACTATATAAACGGACCGCTTATAATTGGCGAGGCTAGCTGGAAGATTTTTAACCAAGCAGGATGTCGTGCCGAGCCGTCATTGCGACTTGTGTTGCTCTCTGCTGCGCTGCCCTAGTCGCGGCAGATTACCAGCTTCGTAAGTTGTTGCCAACGACTCGCCGTCGACTCGTCTTCGGCTGGTGTCCACGTAACGAATCGCTTTCGATCGATTTTTCTTGCTCGATTTTTTGCGGGGAACCGAAACGGGACGGATAGGGTGAGTTTCGTAAAGAGGGTGCACGTTTGCTGGTTTGTGAGAGCACCGATGCAGCGTTCTGATTAGAGTTTGCCGCTTTTAATGAAGTGCCGTGGTTAGATTCTTTAAGATGAGTTAATTGTTTGTCTATACATTTATAAATAGAGATGATAATGTACTTTCGATTGAAATTCGTCGAAACTTCAGTTACTTTTACAACATTCATCGTCAACACGAACAAAATTTATTGTCGACGGAATCGATAATTTTTACTGCTTCTACCTAAGATGGGATTACTGATCAAGTGAGAATGGTTGTGTTACAGAGAAAATATAAACTAGTCTAGAAACTAAAGGACAATAATGAAACATTGTAACCGATTTAAAAAAATCCAAATGGATTAAAATCTGTCATTAGTGTTTTCTTGATTCTTAGAATTGTTTATGTTTTCTTTGTGTCGCAACGATTCGCACTTGACCAGTGGTCCCACCTTAGCTAGAACTAGTAAAAGTTATCGATTCTGTCGAACCAGTGAGTTAGAAAGTTAACGTGGGTCTCGCGAGTGTGTTGGTAACTTGAATTTTAGCGAAATCGGTGAACCGCCGTTCATCGAGCCTCGTTTGCTTCGTCGTCGCGATAAATATTTGCATCGTTGCAATTAATTCTGTCGATCCGGTTCAACGAACTTCATCATTCCCCTCACGCTTTTAATGATTCCTTTGTTTCTCCAGCTCCGACTGTGAAGACTTGCAAGAGGGACTTGGATGACTTTTCGTCTTGCTTGAGACTCGCTATTCAAGAAGGATGGCCCACATTCGTAGCAGGTATAACATAGAGTAAAATTTTTATTCACTTGAAAATTCCAAGGGAAGTAGATGTAATTTTAACGAAAAATTTCCGGAAAACAGGTCTACCAGAATTCGACATGCCACCCTTGGACCCGTTCTACGTGGAAACCCACTCGATGAATTATGAAAACGGCCAAATGCGCGGCGCGTTGAGCGCCACCGATGTCAGGACCTACGGTCTCGCCAAGGCTCGATTCCTCTCGGTGAAACCGGAAATCTCTGACGACTTCCTCCGGCTGGAAATTGACGCCGAATTACCGAAAATTTTAATCGACGGTGACTACAAAGCTGAGGGATCTCTGGGCTCTTTCCAAATCGGCGGCAAAGGTACATCACACGATTAGTCGTTAACTTTTTAATTCCTGCGTTATTAAGACTGGATGTCTAATGAACCTTTGGACAACAGGATACTTCAACATCAGCTTGGACGATGTCAGGGTGAACTGGGACATCTCTGGAGCCATCAAAGACGATAGGTGGGTGGTGGAACACTTCAAGATGACACCCGAAATCGGAGGCATGAAAATATGGTTTAGCGATCTCTTCAACGGAAACGAAGAAATGAGTAAGTCCTGAATTGTGTCAGTAAGGAATCGGCTTGCGAACGGCGTACTTCCATTTCCGAGGGATATTGTAAAAGGCGGGGTGACGTAATGTAAACATCGGATGCTGTCTAGTGGCTATTTACGGTACTCCGAATTGGCGCAAACTTTCATTATCCGCGCGACGTCACTTCGGTACCTTATCATTACGTAATGTTACGTCGCTGAAAATGCATGGGGATCGGAGTCAGTGGCATGGCGGGAGACTCCGCGGCGCTTAATTAGCATGCATTTGCTATATTCCCTCCTGTTATTTGCCGCTCACCCTCATGCATCAGCTTTGTATTATCATCCGTTCCTTCTCATGTAATGCTGTCAGTCTATTACGTCTTGTCTTACCTAAGACCACTCGGTCATGCTCGCTCTTACGTTATCGATCAATCAAGTAGACGCGTATTCCTCTTTCTCTCTCTTGCGGTTACCTTATCGCTAGGGAAGATACCGTGTTCTTTCGATTATCTGTCAAATACCAGATATCCGTTGCTCCAGCTTTTGTTTCCAACTATCTACATCCACGATCTACCGTTCATTCTGAATAGTTAGACTGCGGATTTTCATGCATTCACGGGAAACTTGATAGTGTGAGTTACATGAACTGCACGCGATATGAAAACATATATGAAATATCCAGATTCTAGTGCTTTTTGTAGTATTTTTTTGGAAATATTATTTTCCACTGTAATTGTATTTCTCTAATTATGTTCTTACAAGTTTTACATGTGTTCATAACACGTGTTTGCATGAACACCCCAGTTTATTAATAACACTTTAGGAAACATTGAGGCATTATCATGATGACCGGAAATGTTATTGTAAATCAATCGCTTAATTTATTTTCTCTAGAGTATCGTTGCTTGTTAAGTTCCAAATGATACGTGATAAAAATTGATAATAAATTTACTTTCAGACCGTGCTGCCATCTACTTTGTCAACGAGTATTGGCCACTGGTGTACCGCGGTATGTTACCGAAGCTGGTAGAATCCTGGGACTCGAGTCTCACTGAGTTTGTCAATCGTTTCTTCTCGAAGATCCCGTTCTCAACGGTGTTCCCGTGAGCCGAGCTCACTCCGTAGCAAATAATTGAAAGCGAATTGTGAACAGAATCGAGATCCACAGATCTTAAAGTTTTGTTGCAAATGAAGAACGGACGCGACAAGTTAACGTCGCGGGATGGGAACAACACAAGAAACAAGAGAACCATCTTTACGTTTAAACCCTAGCTCTCTGAGCACCTTGTAACGAATAGCTATAAAACCTGGTGCTTAAATAGATTGTTAAAACTGTGACTGTTATCGAATGTAAATAAACTAATGCTAAATACCAGTTCGAATCTATGTTTCATCGGTAAGGAAGAACAGAGGGAAATGATGTTAAAAATATATACATGTATTTCAATACATTTCATCTTCGAACTAACAGCTAACTATCTTTCTGTTTCATTTATCTATTCGATAGATATATACGAACATATGAATCATTAGTGTGTTGCAATTCTGTTTATATCTGCGACTGTTCTAACGCGAACCGTTCCATTCTGTTTAATGTATCCTGGAGTGTTGTAATTAATGGGTTCAAGGGAAAGAAAAATGGTCGATCATCGGTCGCGTATCCAGAGAACTATTCCACGTACTTTATTGTTATATATACACAGATCAAAGTGCAGTCTACAGTAGATTACTCTGTTCGTAGACGCATTCACGTTTTTTTGCAGTTGCGGCATTGATAACCTCGATACGTTGTAACAGCCATTTATTCCCCACCAATCCAATACAATCGAGATATCAGTGTTTAACGAGGAAAATATTATGCAGGTATTCAAGGTAGAAGGAATACTTCGACCGGCACGTGACGCAATAATTGATTGACGATGCCGGCGAAGAGTACGGACAGCTTCCTCTTCAGTTGCGGTTCCATTGCTTTCAACACTTCCTGTCCGTTCTCGCGAAGGAATAAATTTGTTGCTTCCGCTGTAAAATAATTATTTAGTAAGTACATTCAAACGTTAAGATTCTCTAGATATCGATACTTCGATATACAAAACTATTAAGAAGGTAGATAGGAAAAACTGTTAGAAGCAGCGGCCATTTGAGTACTAATCTCAAGGCATCTCGAGACACCACACGTTCTCCTAAGCATTTCAAAATTATTGGATTGATTACTCACTAAGTATTCGATTATTATTGAAAATCTTGCGAACTCTCATGTGCACGTTCTTGACATCCAGGACGACGTCTAAGTTGTCCACGTTAAGGTACGTCTTTGCATCCCGTACTTTCGTAGAAACGGTACCTTTGACTAGAGCTTTAACATCGTCAAATCGCGCGTGGAATGTTCCGTTGCCACTGGCGGGCAGAATGATCAGCACACCCGAACTAATCAATAGAATTGATTATTAGTATAATTATTAAAGCATGAGAACTGCGGTTTCAATCGTGAGTGCGAGGGAAAGGGAAACATTTATCTCGTGTACATTATACATCACGCAGCCAAGAAATGTTTGTTCACTTAGGCATCGTGTATTTAAAAAGGACGATGCCGCTTTTAGACTTTCTATGGGCTGAGTAAGTAGAGCAGAAGTACCTTGATGGAAGAAACGAACCTGGAATAATGCGCGTCCAAGATAAGGGCTGGCATTCGTACAATAGCCTCGAAGGGTGAGCCGAGTTTAATGTCCTCAACGGTGTAGTTGCTCGCTCCCCTTACGAACAGTTCACGTAGCTGTACCTTGTAACCGTTCGTACCACCTGTCAGGGACAGAGTCAGCTCGTCCATCTGTTGGAACAGGCACAGAGTCACGATTATTTCGAACAACGTATGCTGAATCAATATTCAAATTACTCAAATATCCTCAACCCTTGATCCCTAGCTAATTCAAACTCACAAGTTAAAACGTTTTTTCAAATTTCTGCATTCTTTTGGCTACCTTTTGGTTAAAATTGAGATTAAAATTTACTAAGTTATATTGCTTTGTATTTCTATGGCAATAATAATAAAAAATGTGATGAACAAAAATATTAAAGAAAGATGGGGAAAATATTGCACACACAGATATTCGTGCAATTCATTCGGTTAAAGGAATAGGAAATAGTAAATGTTCATTTAAAGAGAATAGTAAAAGCTTACGCGAAAGGGTTCAACGGGAGGCAGCTCGATTTCCGGTATGCCGACGCTCAGGTACGGTCTCAAGTGATGGAGGGAGTCGATCAGGCAGGATTTCAGCTTCGGATCGCTCCTCGAGCATTGTTTCACGTATTCAGCTGGAACAACAGACACGAAAAACTCTAAGAAGCCGGGGGATCGAGCGAAGAAAGTTCTTAACACGCGAAAGGCAATTAGACGTGGATAGTCACGAATCGAATATCGGCGTGAAGCAAGAGGAAACCGCACCGGTCGCACGAAAAGGTAGTTGCCAGGCAACTTGTCACTCCGTCTGTACATTGTGAAATTCGAATGAAATTCTTTGGGGTTGCACGGGTGACCTCTTTACTAGATCGCGCGCCTTTATGTAACATTCTGGCAATTGTCGGCGAGCGCGAACGTTACAATACAATAAATTACCATTTAACTATCATTCATGAGGAATTCACCTATCCCAGATTCAAGCACCCTGAACAACTGAATCTAGCTTCTATCTAACTTTCGTTCTCATTGGAAGATGGACTCTGGAAAGTAAGACTCGTAAAACGGTAACACCTGCAGCGCACAGATTCTAATTACAAAATGAAAGTGAGAGTACAATGAGCTTCCATGAACCAAAGCAACAATCTTGTTCAATGATCTACATATTAATTACTAAAGATCGCTGGGCAGCACCAAATGGCAAAACTGTTCTGATCCTCAACAATTCTAAGCTAAATCTCCAAGACCAGTAAGAACACAGTTAAATAACCAAGTTGCAGGCCTCTAAACCACGCAAAGATGAAAAGAGTCCTTCCTAACGACGTGTCTCCGATAAACGCGACTTTCACCGGAACATTATCAGCAAACTTGACTCTGAAATACTGGGTCCAGCAAGAAGCCAATCGCGGAAGCGGTTGCCCGGTCGAAAAATCAATGCTACTCACGGTTAGAGTCGACGGAGAGAGTAGCTAAGCCGTTGGAAACCAACAGAAGTAGGAGGAACACCGTTGATCCTATCATCGTGGTCTACTTGTGATCCTTCGGGGATGAAGTGACGAAGTCAGTAAACGGGCCCTCGAACGAATTCACGTCGGCACCCCGGGTTTCACGATGGATTCGCTTGTGATCCCTCGCGCACGATCAGCGTTCCTGACACTTTCGACAACAAGTGTGCTTCAAATCCCGGTTCCTCGGCTAAACGGCACTGCTACTGCAAGACTGACTATGCAAGAGGGCATTGACAGATGCTAGATCGTAACTGCACTCCGGGATACTTTCACTGGTTGCAACGTGCACCTGCGCCTTCTTCGTCTGCGACGACAGACGAGTCTTAGGCCATGTTAGACCGTCGAAAGTACCCTAGATACTCTTCGATCTTTTCTAATCTTGCCACCAGCCGACGTCTAACTGGGAAAGCTGCACCGTAGTTGTTGCCTCTCTTTTCCTCTACCTCTCTCTCGACAGGCCGAGTCTTGAGGAGAGAAAAAAAAATTATATATTTTCCTCCGAGGTCTTCGTATCGATTCTTGTCTATCTATTTCAGCGCCGCCTGGAAAAATACACTGATTATGGAATGCCGTTCCTAAGAAGACGCGAAGGGAACTTATTTATAAATCAGTTTTTATATATCGTGCCGCAGGCTCACGTCACTTTTAGTACATTTTTTAAATTATTCGCTGTGTCTTTTTAGCAGTGGATGAATCTTCCTTTAACACATTCCGTACCGGATGTTTTCGAAAACTGGACAGGTGATTTTTAATGAGATCAACTTATATCACTATGAATAGAAAAACTTGAAGACTTTATGGTTATTTGATATATTTTAAACAGTTAGTTCAGAATTTAATATTATTGAATGCAATCAGATTTCTCGTTTCCGGCGATGCGTTTATATAAAATTGAAATTTCTCGTTTCCGGTGTGCTGTATGTTAAGCGACATCTTTCCAAAGATTTAGTTTTCAACTGTCAGAGTGTCGGTCATGACTGAACTGTCGCGAAGGAAATATTTTATACGGCGTCGCAGGAAAATGTTTCCCTTTTAGCTAAGGTTATGCGGTTTTATAACAAAGACCTACTTTCTAAAAGGTTTCCGGCGTGTATTTAAAGAACGCCGAGTGCGACTAATTGCATCTAACGGACAGTGTAATTTTTTTCGACACGTTAATAATGGACGAGTGTGATTATGAACGATGATAGGAGATGAAAAATCAACAGTAAATTGTAAAGGATTATGGCGGCGTTTAAGAAACGCGCACGGCGGGGCGTTGCGACAGAGAATTAAATCCACAATGTAAACCGATAAAAGAGAGGGTCATTCGACTGGTTGTTTCCATTAGTCTGTAATTAAGATTACCGTATTGTGCAACAAACATTTTCGGTAGAGTGAGCACGCGGAATGGATTCAAGAAAGTACCGATGTTACGAAGATGGCACGCGCGGGCTTAATAATAGTAGAGTATTTCATTGGCTCAGGGATATATAAACGATACGAAGAAGGAATTGCTCATATACACGATTATATCATTAAGAAAAGAATAATTGTTTCTGGTTTCGAAATTAAGAATTTCTTTCTGTCCCATCACATGTTATCTTCAATGTTGCAGTAGTAGCTCAACAGGTCCTACGTTGCTGTACCACGGGTTGCCTATAGACAGGTGTTCTTACTTTATGTATTTCAATTAATCGGTAATTTACATTGAAGCTAATAAAGTTCCAGTTCGTGAATATTTTGAATATTGGTCATTTTATAGAAATGAAAATGAATATATTAAAAATAAATCGTTGTTGTACGATTTATCGAATGTCATAATGTTCTAAAATGATAAAGGAGATAAATTATATTATATAGAATATAAAAACAATGTTGTAGTTTACATAAATTATTCTTTGTCTTTCTAAGTCTTCGAATGTTTCTTATATAATTCTTTTGTTAGCTCTTTTAGAAGTAGTTTCGAGTAATTTGTTACCATTTATGATATCGCATGCAATACTTCAGCCGTGATTGAGTTAAAACACAATATTGCGTAATCCCGATTATGTAATTCACTTTCTCTGTAAATGTGTTATGATAGATTTCTTCCAAGGATTCCGAAAAAAGAGGTGGAAAAAGGAGATTTCATTCAAGATAGATTTTCTTTTCCTCGAATTCACCCATTACCCTTCGAAAAATTATTATTTCCACGCTACTTTTATTTATCAATTTCTTTCTATATTGAACATTAATTAATGATTATGGAACCTATGACAAAGTTCGTTTTCCTATTTTCTTAGTTCTACATGTTCTCGCAATTCTGTCTGTGTTCCGAATGTCCACACTTTACGGTTGTAGACATAAAATGTATTTTCAACCTGTTACTCTTTATCTATTATATCGTGTATACTTGTTTTCGCAGAAGGTGTTAACAAACGTAGTGGACAGAGGCCGGGAGAAATCTAGCAATTACGTAAAATTGAGGAGACGCTGTCCGTCACTTCGTCGATATGGAAATTCGATTAAAATATCTCTTCAAGAGATATCTCAAACTGGCTAGTCACGTTTACCAAGGTTATCGAAGCAAAGAGAATAATAGATAAGTAAATGCACATCAATAATCACCTGGTTCACTAAGTAGACATTTCTCTCGAATCAACACAACGCCAATATTTCGCGAATTTCTCTCAAAATGATAATTCAATTAATACAGATTGACAATAATTATTAATCAAGTTGTATTGCCAGCGAATATTGCTCCCGATGGATCTTATTATACCTCGTTGCTCCAAATAAACAAAGACAACCGAGCAAATACTTCATCAAAGCGCCGAGCCGCAGCAACTTCGATCTCCGAACCAACACGACGGGGCTATTTATCCTATTCCCTTTCCAAAACTCCCCTTTAGCCTTCACATTTACAACATATTTCTCAATCTTAGTCCCTGAAAGCCCTGAAAAAGCGGTCGCAAAAAGTTACTTCAGCTTCAACAAACTAAAAATAAAAAAGAACTCTTTGTCAGTCATAAAGTTTTCGCAGTTGACGCAGATCGAATCAAGGATACTACAACGTGTCCGCTAAGTGGTTTGTTTTGTGACGAATATATTCGATCGAGGTTAAAGCAGTCGTGAAGCAGGAAATTGATCGAGGAAATTGATCGAAGAAAAGGAACAAAATGAGGTGTCTGTGGTGCGTTTTAGTCTCGTTTCGCCAGGCGTGGTGTTCGCGCGCGGTGTCGACTACCACGAGATTGTGCGTCTGGGTCCCGCAGCGGTGTTTCTGCGGGGAATTATGTAAGGTCGACCGAAAATCCTGGCGCAGGAACGCAGCACAGTTGTAACCCTTCTCTCAGATGTACGGTCGAGAGTGAAAGCGTAAGCATCGGCTCGTGTGTTCACCCGGTTTTGCTGGAATTACGCCTCGAGTTCCGTAAACGAGGCGCGTTCGACGCATGAGTGCCGTGACATTATCGAGATGCGACCGTCTTGTGGTGTTCTAGTGATCCTGGCCCTAGTGGCCGCGTCCTCCGCCGGGGATTTTGGTAAGAACTAAGCAAATGCTCCCTTTTCGTCAGTCGTGCAGTTGCTTCGCAGTAAATGCTCCTGCACTGGAGCCTGTGAACGTCATTTCATTGGGATTGATCTGAGCTTTGAACGTAGGAGTACCAAAGGGGATATTTTGTGTCTACTGTGTCACATTTTGTATACTTTTTGATAATTCTTTGACTAATCTAGGTAAAATAGTAAACGAATTTCTATTATTGTCTAGTACTACGCTCTTCGACGCATGGTTTGTTGCAATGTAAATTGAACATTTTGTTTTACAGTGGAGTCAGGTCGAATGTTCAGAAATACCTTGATAAGGGGAGGGTTAATTTGTTGTACCGTTACCTCTGTCATGATTGAAATGGTGTTATAATTGCATGTCTATACTTCATCTCACAGATGCAACGCGTGTTCATTTAATTGTTTCTTGTTTCTTTGATGAGAGCGAGGGACTGCTTCTAATGGATATTGTTTAATTAAAAATGGAAGTTTGATTGCATATGGTTCCACGTGGCCGGAAACCAATTTCCATCGATGAAGGTTCAATGTTCTCCGGCACCGTTCTTCCTGTTTCACGAAAGTTCATAGAAACTAGAAGGATTCGTGACATAATACACGCTTTGTAGTGGCGGCATATTACGCGAGGAAGGTAGCACGGTGAAAATTGCGCAAGCGGAAAATTCTCACGGAACGTGAGACCATTGTGACGAGACTGTGAAGTATAGAAGACAGAAAGTTGGATCGGGAAACGACCAGATCCGCTCGATTTAATGTAAACTCGCTTATTTTTCGGATTTGTAATTTTTGTAGGAATATGTTGTTCCATCTAATGTCACATTTTTACGCTGCGTGTAATGATTGCGCGCAGGTAAATTGCTATCGATTATTTACGGCCTTGATATAGCCAAACTAGGACATTCCACTTTTCACCCTTAAAAGGAAAATCGTTCCTCGTTTCTCTGGCAACAATTTCTGATCTCATTTTGTTCTCTAGTGTCTAAAGTGGAACATGATACTTATATAACGTAATTTAATCCCTTGCTTTATAATACTGAGTGGGAGTCGTGGTGAAGTTTTTAAGTTAAATTTAACAAATATAAATATTATTTATTTGTCAAGTTGTATTGTAATATTTGTAGTAAATAGAATTCTTTTGTCCTAGTTAATGATTAAGCATAATGTATCTCTAAAGAGGATGGTCATGAAAGAAATCCTAAGGCAAGGGGTTAATATTACAAATATCAGAGTTAGTATGGAAATTTGAAGGCAACTCGAATTGAAGTTACAGGACCTTCAAATCGTGATCTTCCTTTGATAACGTAAACATTCATTTAAAAACAAGCTTAGTTTAGTAAAAAATGGTAAATGATCAAAACGAATGGACTTTCTCTTATTCCAGAGGATCACTTCGAAGATTGCCATCCAAATTTGCCAGGCTTCGACGCGTGTATACGCGAAGCGTTGAACGCGATCCGACCATACTTCAAAACCGGACTGCCAACGTACAATGTGTCTCCGTTTGACCCCTTCTTCGCCAGGGAAGTTTCGGTAAAACGGGGTATGCAGAATTTTGGCTTCACCTTAACATTAAGGAACGTTTCCGAGAGCGGTTGGAGTGCTAGCAAAGTGACCAAGTTCGTCAGCGACCTTCCACACTACAAGGTAAAATCCGCCATTTCGAATTTACCATTTTTCATATCATTTAGGCTTTCAATATTTTCGTTTCACTTCGAAATAAAAAGCAGATAATGCAGCAGGTAGTGAGCGAAAAACTTTTGATATTGAAATATTTTTAATTGAAAAGTATCAGTATTTAGAGTTCAAAGATTTTGTTACTAGAAATTGGCAATTGAAAATTATTAGTGTTCGGAGTTCAAAACTATTGGTATCAAAACTTTTCCAATTGAAAAGTATTTAAAAGCTTTTGCTATTAAAAAATTGCCAATTGAGAAACATCAATATTTAGACTTCAAAACTATTGGTATCAAAAGATTGGCAGTCGGGAAGTATCAATATTTCTGTACAGCATAGTAACACAAATGTGTACAGTATAGTAAAGTTACACGTTAAGCTCGATTTAATCGAGTTAGTGGCCTTGGAGTAACTAGTAGATTTTGCAGCACTCCTAGTGAAGCGTTTCACTATATAGTGACTTTCACTCGGATGCGTCAGTGAGTTAATTGTACCCGTACAAGATATCCGGTTACAGCCATAAAATAATCCTAAAGCTAAGACGGAGGAGATACAAGCTGAACGCACGTTTGATCCTTAGTAAACTGTAGCTAACGGCTACATCACCTACTAGTCGCCATTTTGCATGTACGGTCTAATTTCAGGTCGTCTACACTCAGAGCTTTCCAGAAAAATTCTTATCGGGACTTTACGAGTTCAATGCAGCCGTCTTTGGATCCACCATCAAGAACAAGGGGAAATTCACGTTGGCTCTCTGTGAGTATAATCACTGGCCATTATTCAATCGATGACTCTCTCAAGGTTTCATTTCGTAATCCCCCAGAAAAGCTGGAAGTTACTATTTATAGGAAATATATGGAAGGGAGATCAGTTGTCCTTTAATACTTAAAGTTAAAGGATTTCTGTATTGACTATTGGATCCAAGTTTCCACGATTCTTTTTCCTCTCATATTTTTATGGTTTTAGATGACCTCATTCAGACGACAACTATTACCAAGAGACTGGGCCAAAAGATTCAAGTGAGCGTGGACGTTCAAACGATCCGAGATCTGAAACTCCACATCACGAACTTGCTGTTCGGCCGACAGATTCTTGAAAACGTCCTCGACAAAATAATAAATGGCGCCTGGCAGCCGGGATTCGTGATGACCAGGCGCCTGATTAACGATCTTGTCTCCACCGCGTTCACTGAAATATTCGAGAGGGCGTTCCGCAACTTCCCATTCGAGAAAATCATCAAACCGAAACCTGTTGAGAGCTAAAAAATTCACGAATCAGATAAAACAGGAAAACAAACAAGCACACAACGATCAACCATACAACTTCCAGACTACCATTAATGAAGTCATCATCCAAAGAAAATAATACTTTCCCAATCTAAATGATGCAGAAATAATCTTCGGAGTTTCTTTTTTAGAACTCTAGACACCAAATAGCCAACTGTATCGCACTATATCATTTAGCAACGAATACAAACAAAAATATCAATTTTCATCGCATAGCAAAATCTTTTTAGAGGAGCTAAAGAAAACGAGGTCGCGTTTTTACGAACCTCTTACCATTTAGTGATCATTTCAGAGCATAGTATATTTTTTTATTTAGAGGATACATAGTAGGATAAGACCATTTTGTACATACAGAGGACATATTTTTCCGTGATATTTAAAAGTTTTGCATGCAGCACGCATACAGAAATATTACATTCTTTTTTCGCGATTCTAGCTGTTTAGCATCTGTTTGTCGGTACATTTAACTAGAGACAATCCGCACGTTGAAGCCGGAGGAGAACAGGGAGCTTTCTTCTTCTGTTAGAATAGCTGCTTGCCTTGAGAAGTGGACGGTCTCTGACCTCGCATTCTCATGGTGTACGAGCATGGTGTATCAACATCAGTGCATCGCGTCTCTTTTATCGATCTAAAAAGATTTATAGCAACAGACCGGCCGCTCTTACACTAACGGAGCGGCACTTAGCACCGGTATTGTTGTTCCAATTTAGCAAACTACTGACTTCGGAGATTTTCTTCGACCGATAACACTTGTGAATCAAGTGTCATTGATTGTACAAGCTGTTTCAATTACTACGATCGAATAGATTTTCTCCGTAAACAAATCCACGAACATAATAATATATTCCAGTACATTACGTCAACCGGACAATTAATTCGCTGCCGATTTTTCAATGCAAAGAAAGTAATACATTTTCAATACTATTATTAAGATTTATCGAAAAATATAATTTCCATCGTTACTAATTACTTCTTTCCAACGCGATGGTAATTTGTGATTTCCATTTCTATAAAATGACTTATTATTTTCCGGTGGACTTAATGTAATATAAAATACTTATCAATTTGTTATTGTTAAATTGATAAAAACTGTCAGCAAACGAAAGGCGTTTTTTCATTTTAAATAGTTTAAGTGATATTTTTGTTATATTCGATTGAGATTTGCTACAGGACGAATAAAGTGTTACCAAATAATTTTAGGAATTCTCTGCTCGCACGTTTTGCGTATAACACGGTGTCAATGGGAGCGTTAACCGTTCGATATCCGTCATAACGCCCGATCACAGTCAGAATCGGCCGTGATCGCAACGAGTTACCGGGTTCATTAACGGTGCTTAACATTCTTCGGTAAGCCCATCGTTCTTTTCTGACGTCCGCCACTGACGTCCGTTTACTTTCGATCTACCTGTGTCAAATTTTTATTGCCGATTATCTGGTATTATCGATCATGAGCCTGACACGACACGAGTGTAATGAGTATAAATACTTTTATTTAATCGCAATTATGTGCGCTAAACGCTATTCGCCATCTTTTGTTCTCGGTAATCTAAAAAGTGCAACCATTTGCACTATTATTATATTCTAAATTATCAAAGTTATTAAACCGTTTGAAATAAATTCCTTTAACGCTAGAACTACGAGGTGGGTCGACATGACTCACTCCAGATTTCTTCTTTTACCGAAAAGATACTTCTTCGAGACATTATTGAAGAAGCTGATCCGGTATTACCGAAACTGAAATATAAGTCAATTGAAATTTTAATAACTGCGAGATTATAGCTTTCGCAAAGAGATTTTAAAAAGTTAATTGAAGTATTCCGTGGTTCTAGTGTTGAAGCAAAGAAAAAAGTCTGATTCAATCTGAAGATAAGAAATTTTGTCTTTTTTTTTAAGCTATTATATTGTCATCGGAAAACCTTTACGTTTCTTTAATAATGATGAATTGAATTGTTCGTGTTAGGCAATCAGAGCATAAATATTTTGTTAGCACGAATCGTACATTTTTTCTCGTCTAATCTGAGATCTTTCCAGCCAATTGAACTTCATATAATTTTTAGGATCGATATAGAGGTCAGTCGGAACGGCGGTTCCCGTCATTTCGTTAGAAAGCGCAAAGCGTTCGAACGCAGATAGTCCTTACCCGTAACGAACTGTGCCTATAAAGTACTGTTTGCTTTCTGTTCGTAGCTTCTAAACAGATTACATCAAGCACAACACGATGCTCACTGATTTTTCTCGCGGCTGACTTTCCCAAAGCTGTTGGCAATTCGTTTACGACTTTCTTCTGCTATCTGGCGAACCTGGAACCCTCTTATCCAACAATCTAACCTGTAGTATTAAAAATATTCTTCATTCTTCATCAGACATGTTTGAATTCACAAGGTCAACTATATTTCATTTCTTTTTAACAAAGAAATAATATTCTGATTCGTATCTCTCATTACGCATGTCTAGCATTATACCAAGATCAATAAGATTCTATTATTCTTTTCTCAAACCAACTACCTTTAAGTTAAATGAACTGTTCAAACATCTGTTACAAACATTTTTCAACAAAGATATCAATATTCTATTATTCACCTTTTCATTCAATGTAATAAAATACAAGAATTATAAGTAGTTAACAAGACAAATAGAAGAACGAAACAAGCAACAACGATGTTCTCGGGCGTCCTTTCAAGTTCACCTCAAACACATCCAATGCCTCGGTACTCTAAGCTTTTGTATTTACCAAAAATCCTCTCATTCAGACACTTCCTCTTCCCTGTCCAAAGTCTGAACTCAACAGGTAATTAGAGAAAAGATCGATGACCTTACAGAATAAATTACTGGCCGTCATTCCACATTTTGAATTAATCTTTGAATTCACATTATGAAACTCATAAATTTTACGTATATCGAATTTCATAAACATTACTCAAACATTCATAGCGATTTTGATTGACGCAACTACGCGAATATGTGTCCTAATGGTCTATTTTTAAATCCCTAATCTCCAACATGTAACTAACGTGCATCAAGTATCCTAGGAACAATAAAATAAACCGTGCAATAAACGTCCCGTGAACCCAATGTTAAATTGTAAGTAGATTATTAGCTGTATTATAGATTAATATAATATATTATAGATTAACATAATATAATTAATATTACTAGGAAGTAGATTATATTATTGTGCAGTTTATCTTATTGTTCCTGGAAAAACTGATGTTCCCTCGTTCAGATATTGAAAATTAGCGATTTAAACATAGGTTATCAAGATATATATTCCCGTATATGAAAACCGACATAAATGTTCGCCAAGTGATGTGTATAAAATTCACTACACGTCAGATCGACGCGTTCCGTAAACCTAGTGTTAATCAAAAGAAGAAAGCCGGGGAGAATCATCCGCGTTATAAGCTCGGGCGGATGCCAACTATCCGCGGCCGGATACCTGTGCCCGGCGCGTCGCGCCGTTCCTTTTCTTCGTGTTCGAGCCCCGAAGGCATAGCGGGGGCAATGTCAAGGTGTTATAAGGCCTGACGCATCCCCGCTGCCCGGTCATTCCACGCGAAGAAATTCGATCGAGTCACGGCTACGCTGCGAGACGAACGGGTACACCGGTCAAGGTACTTATTAGATAGATGCATAGAGAATCGCGATTGAGGATGACTTTGACAGCGAGCCTATTTTTGTGCGCGTGTGCGTTCATGCTCGGCGCGGAGGCGATCGGCAGGTACAAGGGCTTGGAGTTTTTGGAACCATGCTCCATGAGGGACCGGAATTTGGAGAGCTGCCTCGCGAGGTCGGCCAACGTCCTCACTGAAAACTTCCGTCACGGTGAGTAATGTTCCTTTTGTGGATCGATTTGAATAATTGGATTTTTATCTGATTTCTTCGAGAATAGTACGGCGGGAACAGATTTCGGTTGATATTGGAATAATTTAGAGTATGCTCTTCGTGCGGATCGATTTAAATATTTGATTGTTTACCTCGGTTTTGGTAATATAGGGCAATTGGAAAAGATTTTGGTTGATATTAGAGTAATTTAGGGTATGCTCTTTTTGCGGATCGATTTGAATATTTGATTGTTTACCTGGGTTTTGGTAATATGGTGCAGTTTGCAAAGATTTGGAATGATGTTAAAATAATTTGAATTATGTGTATACTTGTTGTGTATTTATTTAGATCTTCATTTTCTGACCTTCATTTGTTTTCTCGAAAATCTGGAGCGATGGGAACAGATTTAGGCTGATGTTGAAATAATTCAAAATATGCTTTTCTTGCATAGCTATTGAAATCTTCCATTATTTACGCGTTTTTTGGAGCATATAGCGCAGGGGGAAGAGATTTAGATCTCACCATTGGAATAATTTAAAATATATTAATTACTTATTGTTGGAAAATAGTATCTTCATTTGTCTTTTCGATTGCGCTTGAATTTCATAGTCCCTGAACTGCATAGGGTACGTAGATACCCAGGCATTTTAATTAAGGATCGAAAGTATTAGGAGAATGAGCAATAATTGTCAGAGGGCAATAAACTTGTGCAGTGTTTTAGTCATAATTGCATTCCTCGTTGCTTGCAGTCGGTATAGGATGCAGGAACAGGTTCAGAAATTGGATAAAGATTAATCAAGCTCAGTGTGCAGAGGTCAACGATGCTCTTCAGATTTCAATGAATAATTTCGATTACGCGAGGACCCGTATAATGCGATTGAGTTTTTTGTGTACATTTACATTTCATTTACATAAAAAACAAAGTCCAAAAATCGGAAAAAACGTTTTAAAGCTCCTCTTCAATATTCATACACCTGCCGCGCCAATATTTTCAAAATCATTAATACCGACGGTACAAAATTCAATAACCGAAATTCAATACACTGAATGAAAAGAAAGATTAGAAAAACTCAATTTTTTTAATCAGACAATGAAATATTATAATATGAAAATTAGAAAAATTGATCAAAATTAATAAATACAATTGGAAAAAATTCAATTTTTTTAAATGAAATAATGAAACGTTACAAAACGATCGTGGCTTTCGTATAATCGCTTATTTTACTGAATTATCGTGTAATTGAACTGGATTCTGGAAGGGCAAAGTTCGAGCGGCGATTATGTTGACGAAAAGAAAAATACGGAAGTCGAAAGTAGAGGATCATCGATCGCGGGACCACGTGGTGCCGCTGAAACGAGTAAAAAAGATGTTCGCGGCAAGGAAGCAGGTTATAACGGTGTATTCGAATGGTCACCCAGTGTCCTACATTCCACGCGCTCGTCGCCGCAGACTGATGGAATAGGTTCGGCGTTCTGACGCAGATTGAATATAACATTGGACGCGTGTGACCGTCAAAGACCGAATTTTGCTCGATCGTTTACTCCATCGACGCTATTCGTGATGTACAATACCATGATTCTATAAAACACGTATACTATCGAAAATAATCGATTCATACAATGTTTATTCTAACGAATGAATATTAACCCATGATTTGACATTTTTGACGTTTTTCAGGTAGCCTAAATTATAAATTTTTCGATAATTCTTATGGTATTTAATGAAAATTTACTCTTCGTCAATGGTAGTAATATAAGACGATAAAGCTTACAATGCAGTTTTTATAAAATTCTATGGAATTTTTATTAAGGACATTCGAATTACGATCGATTTCCCTTGATTCAACTCTTAATTAAAACATCAAAAGTCTATCTAACGTAAAGACTAACTTAACACAATGATCCTAAATACATCTGAACTGATCGATTCTCTTAGATTCGATTTTAAATTAAAAAAATTACAAATCATAGCAAAAGTTACCTAGCCAGAAATGATTAGAGTTAATCATTAGAAGTTAGTACATTGTGGGTTACTTAGAACAAACACTAATTTGATATGATAATTGTAGGTCTGCCTCAACTGGGCTATTCAGACGTCGAGCCAATCATTTTGGATGAACTCCACATCGCTCTGGGCGGTGGACCAGACGGTTACAGGGCTCAGTTCAAGGACATCACCGCGAAAGGCGTTTCCGCGTTAAGGGTGACAGGTTTAAGGGCCAGACTCTCCGACGACGAAGTGCAGCTGCAGTTGGCGCTGAGCATTCCGAAGATCAGAGCCGCGGCCAAGTACCGATCCAGCGGTACCTTAATCCTGGTGAAAGCCAGCGGTGCTGGTGATTATTGGGGAGAGTACGGTAAGCAAAAGAAGAATTTTGCTGTATTGTCAATAACTCTGACTGTACAGCGACGAGCTAAACTGGTGGTTGAGATCTTTAGATCGATTTACTGAGAATCAATGTTATTTACCATACACAGAGGTTATAGGCTACTTTGGAATTTCAATATTTTTACCTTCGAAGTAAATTTGTACTTATAACAGAATTTGTTTGTTTTCTCGTGTATTATTGGTAGAATAGTAAGAGGATCAACTGAAAGCTAATGGACAGTAGGATTATCTCAATTGGAGGACGAATGCAGTTTTCGAAACGAAACAGCAACGGAACGAAAGTATGATTTGTTAGGTACCGTTATTGCAATAACATTATCCTAGATAAAATGACAGAGCAAATAAGAAATAAAATAAAAATATTATTTAGATAGTTATTCGATTAAAGATTATAGTCATCTGAGCTTTTCGAGGGTAAGCCTAAAATTACCATAATTCTGATCATGACCAACATTCGTTGATATTGTTTTATTAATGATTATCACCATTCAGGCTACGAAAGACTTAAATCCACGAATAAAAGTTTATTTCGATGATGTCCATCTTTGGCCAGAAAATTGTATAGCAAGGGGTTAGTATTTACCAGTTACCGTCGTTATCGTCGTGATGGACGCATACAGCGCATTTAAGTCCCCATTGGAAGACTCTGCTGAAACGAGGGTAACCTCGTTTAATTATATTGAACGCGAAATCGAAATTAGCTAGATTCGAAAGGCGTCGAGCTGAGCTTAAGTACCGTAAAAAACAACCATACAATTTGTACGATAGTTAATCGTGATAGCAGAACAGCGCGGGTCTAGTGAAAAAGCGCCTCGGGTAAAAGTTGAACAGCGACGTCGACTTTCACCGCCGACGCGATGCAAATTTGTTTTAGAGGATTTTATGTTTCACTTTGCGAGTTAGCTGCGAATTCCCTCTGGCGCACAGGATTTTTATATTAGCATCTGTGATGAATGCAGACACTTTCCGAATTGCTCAATAATAAATTTACTTGTCCTGCGAAGGTCAGTTTTGCATTTTATATCGTCGCTAATGAGCTGTAGATTATTTTTTCTTCAAGATGGAGGCTTATGTATTTTTTTAATGAAGGATCATTAATCGTCGGCGAGAAGTGACGTCATTATTAACTTTTTTCAAGCCATTTTCATACGTTTAGTGGAAATTGAAAACTGTTAAGTTATAATACTATACTCTTAGTCTTGTTATTGAGTTGGCGTAACAGTTCTGACGATATTTTATAAGAAATAAAAAGAAGGGTTATCAACTGTTCGTTGGCTAAAGCAAAACCAAGTGAAAACGAAGAAGCGTTCTTTGCACACGTTATAATATTTTGAAGACGGATGTCACTTGTGTCAAAGACAAACACTTTTTCGTTAATTACGTACAAAAGACATCAACGTTTCTGCATCAACTCAATATTTCTTTTGTCAGGACCAGTTTCGTGTGTGTTACGTGTATACGATAAGCTTAGGATAGTATTCAACTTGCGTTCATGGAAATATTTAATAATATAAACAGTACCGTAGCGGAGTTTGTCGAGTTACAGGAATATATTTGTGTGCCCGTGTAGCGGAGTTTATGGAATGCAAAGGGTTAAATGTATTTTTTTTACAGAGGGCGTCAAGGCAAAGGTGTTCATCAGAGCGAAGCCGTTCTTGGTTCAAGGCCGCCGCTACTTGAGGCTACAACAACTGAAGATGGACTTTAGCGTGCAGAACATCCGAATGGGCGTCGAGAACGTCCGCGACAGCAACTCGATAATACGTAAGCATCGAAGAAACTGACATCATAATCCTTATATTTATTTCTGAATATAAATGTCAGTTGAATTTTTTATTTATTACAATGGACGTATTATGAATAATTCGATGCATGGTGGATTGAGGCTTCTGAAAATTTACTAGAATCGATATGCAAATTGAATATTACGTCATACGGTATTCACAGGTATAAAATATTGCTTTCCTGTTTGGCGTGTTTCAGTTGCTGCACTGAACTTGTTTATTAATACGAATAGTCAAGAACTGCTGAAAGAGATGAAACCGGACCTCAGGCGGAAGTTGGTCCAAGTGATGACGACCTTCGTCGAGAAGATCTTCGCTCAAGTACCATACGACGCCTGGATCGTCGACTAAGAATCGCAAAATTGCGTATCGCGACATCACGAACGGTTCACACTCATCATTCTTACACAGCGTTCTCGAGAAAGAGGACCTCGCACTCCCATTTTCATCGAAATTTTCATGACAGCGTAGAAATTTCAACGATCGCTGATACGAAAGCGATAAAGGGTTAATTATTGTGTAAATTAGTCAAATAAGAACTCGCCATTAATTTAAGAGAAATTGTTGCCTGAAGATATCTATGGAACTCGGTGAGAATTAATAGAATTCAAGACGAAAAATGCTGTTAGAATATTAGGGATTAAACATTGTCTCGTTTTATACTGCCTCTTAGGTTTATATATTTTTTAAATATTTTTTAAGTGTCCACTTAGTAAAGATTAATTCACGATTAATCGTTAGAACGCATGTGTGTTGAATGAAAAATTGCGAGATGATATTTATATTTATTGTTCATGGTATTTTCGAATTGATATCCCGCAAGGATTATATTTTATAGCTTGCATACACACATTTTATAATATTGTGACTAATTGAAGAATGAGGATGGGGCAAGTTGTAAGTGTATTTCAAATAAGTATTTAATATTCATTGTTTTACGATATTTTCTATAACTTCCCTTATATTCGTTCTTCAATTTATACACGACATCACACTTTCATAAACTATCATGTAGAATCGGAACGTCCATTAGATTTATTCGTACAATCAGATGTTACAAATTTCCGAACGTTATCCTGTAGATATACATATGCTCGACGAAACAAATAGAATATTTATTTCATCGATTATTTAAAACAAAGTGTTTCTTATTTCGAAGTTACACTCATTTCCTAACTTCTCCCATATTTCCCATCAGGTCTGCCCTATTGAATGTCAATAAAGATTTTATTGACGACAGTCTAATAATGTTGATTACTTTTTTCTCTATGATTAAATAAGTCGTATTTGCATGATTCTTATCGATCCAGTTTGTTATATGTTGCACAACAATGTGTCTATCGTATGCAGCCTAGCTGACTGGTAATTATGATTGGAGTAACATGCAAAATAAACCAGGGGATTTCAACAAGCGATCGTTTGTTGATCACTGATTCATTGTTTCATGATTATTGCGCAATAATAATCACATTATATCATTTATTACTTTTTCTGAATGTTGTGGTCCGACAGGATATGTCTGCCATTGTGAAGTGGGTATAAACTTATCAAGTTCCCGGAAACGTCAACTTGAAGACACTGGATTATTCATCGCGTCGTCTTGCATTTCGTGTATTTCTCTCGAAATTCTGTATTAAAGATTCGTGGAATTTCTTCCGTAAAACTGATTACTCATTAAACAAGATTAATAATGATTCCCATTATGCTTAAATCCTATACCTACTATATTTTCGAACATGATTAATACTATGAATTCACAAGTAGATAGATAATTAAGTGATACCTGAAAGAAAAAAAGTAAATTTTCATGTAAATCGCTGACTATTAATATGTTAAACAGTAGATTAATTATATACGTAGCAGATGTAACGAGTATACATAACTTGTAATTAAAGTAGATCGATTGGATATTGGAATGAAAAACATCAGTTTCAACATTTGTTTCTCCGTTCACTGCCTGTCCTTGTGCGCAGAACGACGTAATTTTTCTTTAACAATATCAGTATTTAACCCTTTGAACCTGGTAATATATAATTTTATAATTTTATTGATAGTTTTATGATTATTTTGCATTCGAGTGCAAAGGATTAACATATTTTTCCTATTAACCGTTCTCTACATTGACAAATCTTATTTGATCAAATAGCGATTAAGAAATGAACCTTGTGCGTCTTCAACGGGGTACGCGAGTGTGGCGTCAGCGGTCAAACCGATAAATTTCCATCAAAATAATATAAGAATTTCTATGCCTGGAAGCGTCGCCACGTGAACTAACTAACGGGGTTCGACGCCTTGACCCTGTCCCTCTCTTGTTGTGAACTGCGACAAGGAGTCGTCGGTTGGCTTTTCGTTAATTTGCGTCGTTTCCTTGAAAGGAAAAATGTAAAAATATTGCGTGGGCCTACGGTGGAAAGACGGCACGCACGTGGAATATTAGATTCGAACCGATCCTTCCGGTTTTTCAGTGACGAGATTCTGGCACTGTCTTTCTTCCGACCGGCGATTTCATGAATTTGTTTAAACTGTACTGATTCCCAGCACATAGAATGCTCACTTCACGCTGCTGACACTTTTAATTCGCTACGTGTTAACCGATTCCACGATCTGTTTTGATGTCGCTCCGTATCTTGCACTTTAAACAGCTGCACACGTGTCATTGGAAAATATCATTGTTCCCAGTGAAGCTGTAACACATATTGTACATATTAATTTCTAAGAAGAACGATTGCACAAAAACTTCAACTACAGCTTAAGGTTCGAATAACAATTCTATGGACAATGCTTCTTCTATTTGCATTTTATACGAAAAATAATCATTAAATTTCGTGTATTCGTTCGAAGCACTTCTAAAAATTATATAAACAGAATAAGTCATTGATAAAACGACGTTTCCTGGAAGATGCACATTAACTGTTGGTGTACAAGCAAATTGTTGCAATACTTCGATTCAGGATCACAAGTACGAGGATGGTTGCACCTTATAAAAACACAATAGAGAAAGAATGGTACATCTCGAAAAACGTCCATACTCCAGAAAGTTCCTCAATTAATCATGACATTTCAGGGCGTAATTACAGCCTCTACACTGATCCGCATAATTGGTAATTAAAAATCTTGTTATTCTTGAAAGAAACAAAAAAATATCTGCACTAATCGCCGAATCGGTTTCTCAGGGATTTCATGAAGATATTCGACGAGCTCAAAATACGAGTGTCCGCGCGATGGTGTAAGTATGTAAGTACGTGAGCGAGCCCGCGGCCGTATGTTCGCGGGAACGATCACATGCTTACGATTCGAGATTCGTCCAGTCTACAGTGATCTGGACACTCCAGAGATCAGGCCTTCTCGTCGGACAACAATGACACACCAGATCAGAGAGGGGATGCAAGGAACATCTATAAGGACTTGGGGCTGGCCACTAGTCTATTCACTTCTACACCGGACACCATACAACAACGAAACAACCCTGGCAATTATATCGAGCTTCGTCTTTGGTTATTTCAACTTTCAAGTGAGGATTCTTTATACTTTGATTTCGTCTTTGATTATATTGGATCTTGCGAACGGATTATTTTGATATTCGAATATTCTCTGTTTGCTTCCAATATCCTCAATTTTCCTTGTATTTCCGGCGGGATTGTTTTTCCAGAAGAAGGAAAATGAAGAGGATCGTGGCGACACTAGTGTTTGCTACCATCTTTGCCGCCACGCTGGCGCGGGAACTGCGTAAGTGGAATTATTTCAAATTTATGACAATGGTTTATGGTATTCTTTGGTTCGGTGGGCGTTGAGCGTTATGTCTGTTACTCTGTGTGATCGTTAATTCGTCTTTTTATGGAGTTCGTTTAATTGGTAGTTTACTTTAACGGTGAATTGTGGGTGACTTTTGCTAAGTTTTTAGGGTGTATGGTAGCCTTCAAAGAGATTGTAATGCGGGTTTATTGTGAATACTGATCAGCGGTGGAGACATGTAAAGACTAATTGGTTTTCTACGTGAGCTCAATGAACCTTATTGTTGCCTTAGTTGCTGATAAGAAATTCGAGATTGCATCTGGAATAGTTTATGTAAATTTATTGTCTGAACGGAGGCTTTATTGAGGATGAACAATGAAAAAGGTTTTCTTTGGAATAATCTATTGTCAATGCTGATTTTGTTCACCAAAATCACCAATAGTGTCTTACTGCAACAAACATATACTGCTTAAAATATTAGGGTAATAATTAAAATTTCAAAAATTTTAGAAATAAAAATTTAGTGAGTAATTGAAATAATTGAAAGGTTAAACTCAGTCTGATGCTTCAATTTGATTGCTATCACACCGATGATGTCACTAATAAATAGTACAGTAGCATGATCTTTGTCTATAGTAAGTACAACCATTCCATTTCACTTTACAATAGTAATTATTAAAAATGATTGTGCGCAGCCGACTTTATTCACGTTTGCAAGAAAAACGAACCAAATTTGGGCGATTGCATCAAGGCGAGCGTAGAAAACGTCAAGCCGTACTTAATAGCTGGACTTCCGGAGTACAATATCCCTTCTCTGGAGCCATTGCTACTGAATGAATTGGTCGCCGCACCGGGGAACACTATAAAACTGAAGCTGAGGAATCTCATCGTCCATGGAGCCAGCAATTTTACAGTCACGAAAATAAAGTAAGTTTTGTAGCATTAGGAAACACCATCTATCATAGAATTACATACTTATAGTCATCCCCTTGTCCCATGAGTTCTTCTTTAATCATAATCGATACAACTATTTTGCGATTTGATTCGTTTGAGGCTTCCACGACCAGGATACTATGAGAAGTATCGAAAGTTTCCGGGTGTAAGCAGTGTTCACTAAGAATTATTCTTATTCAGGCTCAAACACCCTGATACTTTGACGACTTCTTATATTTTACGATTAATAATTTAAAGATTTAAAGAAAATTAGACACACCAAAGAGAAAAGAGAAGAATTCTAGGCTTTTTCTATGTGTACGTTTACTGTAAAGCATAATAATCGACAATAGGAGAATAATATTTCATTTGAACCCAACAACATTCAATGATATTTATATTTGTTAAATTTTATTTGAAATTCTCGCGTCGAGTCTGATACGATATTGTATGGCAAGGGGTTACTATTAATCTAAAGGATACGCATTCGAGTTCGTACATAGTTTACATCCGTACCTGGCGTGCACGATCTTTACCATAGATTTCCTTTAATCCATTGCTTCCGCAAAACTGAAAATTGCGCATTGTTCACACGCTTATCGGTTCTGTGATCTTCCTGAAACTGAAATTCGTTCTTTTCAATTCAATTTGAGCTAGGCAGCAAGTGGAAGAGTTTACGTTAATAAAACTGAAATCGAAACAGTAAGCTTCAGAATGAATATTGTCATGTCTACATCGCACGTTGTAATTGTTTTCTTTCGTTTCTAATAACGATGCGTTTAGTATACCTTGATAAAAGAATGATTGCACTATCCGAGTACTATTAAAAGTGAATCCAGGTTGTATAATGGATTACCGCTTAATGTAATCCCGTTTTATATCTATTATATGTTCCTAATTTACATTTGGATGGAAGCTGTAATGTTCAAGTCATTCTTATTTATGGGAAATCGGAAACTGTTCTAAAGAAGTTGTTTTCTTGTCGTGTGAAACGAAACTTAGTTCACCAAAATGTCGCGTTAATGAAGAAACGACGTTAACGATACCCCCAATAAGTGGCTCGCCTTAAGATGAGGGGATAATTAGTAGATGCTAATTAACGGATTAATGCAGCATGATCGAATAAATTAAGCATTAATTATTCATCCTCCTTCGAATTATGATGTCGTAAAGATTAGAATGAATATAAACACTTAGTGCATAGTCTCCTGGGCGTATAAAAAGGTTGTTGCAATTAACAAGAAATAAGTGATAAATTAATTTTGCGCGGAAGTGAACGAACGACGCAGCATTTGTAAAGCTGGCCATAGTAGCTAGCTCCTTTTTAGTATTCCTCGAGCACGAGAAGTAATGGCCGTGACACGAACTCTTTAAACAGGAGATGCCACGCGTGTCACGCGTATTACGAAAACCGTGGCCCCGTAAACTTGCTGAACGGAAACGTCAAATTTCATGCCGCACGCCCATTAGACAATTTACACGGTTCAAATTGTTTCCGTCAATTCTCGTGGACTTGAACTTAACTTAAAATGCCAGGGTGACTAGTATAGTGGGCAGAAACAAGCTTGGGGACCTTGCGGGATATGAGATAGCTTGTATACAGGGTGGTCCAGAATTCGTGGTATAAATCAGATTAAGGCGGATTCAAGAATAACGAAACTTTTAATAAAAATTGAAGAATAACGAAAATTGAAAGAAAAATTCGGGAATAACGAAAATTCAGCTGAAAGTTGAAGAGTAACGGAATAGAGTATTAAAATCACGAGTAAATTAAGAATAACGACATCGTATTAGAGTGCTTGTTTTGTAAAGAAATGCCGATTAAAAGTTAACTTAGTTCACGTGTACATAACTAGCGAATGAAATTGTCGTTTGCAAAATTAAAACTGTAAAATACACTGTGCACAGATCAATGTAATATAGGTAAAAACATGTTTCAATTTTCATCAGATAAATGTTAACACTCTAACCGTTAGATGTCCATTTCTCCAGTTCAAGTTATTTACTATTTCTTTTGTGTTCAACAGAGCCAATATCGACACGTTGCGTTTTGTAGTCGAACTGGATTTTCCGGATCTTTCCTTGCACGGTGATTACGATATCGACGGCAAAGTGATTCTCTTGAGGATCCAGGGGTCAGGACCTATGAACGGGAACTTCACGGACTGCAAGGGACAGATCAAGCTGCAGGCGGCAACGACTAAAGGCAACGACGGCCAAACTTATGTAAAAATAGTCGATTTTAAGACGAAGATCTACGTTGGCCGTGGAGAACTGAGACTGGATAATCTGTTCGGTGGTGATCGTGCACTTGGCGATGCAATCAATGGCGTGATCAACAGCAATTTCGATGCATTCATCAAGGAACTGGAGCCATCCCTCGAGAGTGCTATTTCTGACACCTTCCAGAAGATTGCAAATAGCATTCTCACGCAGTTCACCTACGAAACGCTGTTTCCAGTATAGTAAAAGAATATTTTTCAAGAACATACTCAGCTGAGAAGATTAAATATAGTACTGATCGTTGATTCCGCGACTTACCGCACTGTTCGAAAACTTGGCACACGTCACGTAGAAACTAATGCTCATTGTTTTCTGACACATTAACATTGTAAAATATGTATTATATGTTGAGAAGTCTTGTGGAGAAAGGAAGTTTCACATTTTTAAATAAAATCGTTCCACGCTCGGGACACGTTTTCTTTTTCCTTCGTCGTAACATGTGTGATGATCGTTTTGAAAGAGTGTTCTGAGATCTGTTTTCTTTGTCAGCAATGTTTGAAGGTATAAGAAGGGAACACAAGTTAAGTTGTAGTATCCATGCAACGTATATTTCCTATGTAATAAAACACTCTCAACAAATTGACGTCGGTGTATTGTTTGCATCACAAAAGAAGATTCAAAAAGTTGTTACAAATTCTGATTTTCGTTTTGATAAATTAATCATCCTCGATTAAATCAATGGGATAGAAATAGAGAAATCTTGAAGATTGAAAGAAAAATGGCGACTGCGACTGTTCTTCATTTTTATTCGACATAATCTCAATATTTAAAAGTTTCTGCAGGAAATCCACGAAAAATCTCTTAATTATTCTTCTAAAAATGAATTCGTATTGGACCAATTTGCGGCTTTTCTTTTAATACATTTCGACAATAGTTCTCGATTATTCCCGATCGGGGAAAAATTCTTCGTAACTGTAGCGTTTGCAGATCTTGTTGGCCAGATCGAGACATTTCTCCGAAATCGCCTTTTCGATGTATGGCATGCTGAATTCGAGTACTTCCTGGTGACTGCTGCCCAACGCCTGCATGAACGCATCTTGCAACGTTTTGTCAAGGTGGTCCGATTCGAACTTCAAGTCGAAATCTTTCGCGTCCAATTTCATCTGCATCGAGTTGAAATACATATAGCGCTTGCTGCCCCGTTGGACTAACTTGAAAGACATTTTCACTCTCGCTACGACATCCTCTGCAATGGACGAAATTGGAAAATATTAACGCTTCGCGAAATTATAAAGTTTTGTATATAATGTTAAGTTACAAATAATGCAGTATGGAAAATATTGGGATGAAATAGCTTTGTTTGTTGATTTATATATGTTTTCTTATTACTTAATCTTAAAGAATGTCATGAATATTTCTGGCGACAAACTTTCGAGTGCAAAGGGTTAACATTACTTCTATCGATTCTTTGTGTGCCTCAAATAAACAGGAAGTAATTATTTTATAATAAACTGTCTCGAAGAGAGAAATAACCTTTATAGGTCAGTTATTATCTACTTTTAAAGACAGTCGTCCCATCTGTTATCAAATTGCAAGCTGAACTTGCAAACTCCATTAATTTAGCTTCTTCTATCTTACTTCTCACTGTAGGAACTAGAATTCTATACCATTCTTACTTATTAATACTTCACCACGACCAATTCCCAGTAATATATGAGAGTATGAGTATTTTCAATTGCTAATTTACTATTCGCCAATACGTTTACACGTAACCAATCAAAACTATAAAACTGTAAACTAGAAAGGCACCTCTTTTCCCTTGCCGTTTCGCTGGACGTCGAATCATCTCTCAACTGTACCTTGGAGTCTTTAATTACCCAACTGATCAATTAAAAACATGATCATTAATTGCAATCATTTCTATGTACACACCGGTATCAGTGCATCTTTGCAGCGAAACTTTTGAACGTTCCTATTGGACACGGTTTACTTCTTGCAGCCTGAAATAACTACAAAAATCATGAGATTTCTCTATTAGACTTACGTGCGTTCATAGAGATCGGTCCTTTTCCGCTGATCGGTATCAAGATCTTAGCGTTGAGGTCGTAGTCAGCCACCATATGGATGTCCTTGAATAGGAGCTTCATGGTGATGAATTTTTCGTCCAGATTCAGGTGAAGGGACTCGATATTATAGGTCGGAAGCCCATAAACCTTCACGTTATGTCCGATTGCTTTAAAATTCGGCAAGTCGGCGAGCGTTAACTCCTCAAGCACGAACGGATTCGAGGCCGGAACGCCCAACTCCGGGATGCCGGACTCTAGCACCTTCGCCAGTGCGTTCACGCTGTTGATTACGCACTGATCGAGATTCGGGTTCTTGGCTCCACAGATTTGAATGTACGAAGCTGGAAACCAATAATATAATATCAGGACAGAGATATTTCTTTTTACTCTTGTAAACCTCACTTGACGTTTATTGTAACGAGAATGATTACAAAATGACAAGTATTACAACGTAAAGCGTGTACGCGGAAGAAGCAGAAGTTAGTAGTAAATATGTGCGAAAGAGAACAGTGAAATGTTGGGAATAGTATAGCTTTCTTATGTACGCAGCAGTAATAGTATAAAAAGACAATGCTGGATTGTTTATGAGTAAAATTTTCATAATCTGCAGTTTAAATTTAACTTCGCTCTCTGAAAATTATGTCTTAGGGAAAAGGAAAAGCGATCTAGAAGAAGAAGCAGAATGTAATGTGAACGAAACATTCTTAGAGACAATTAGGTATGTGTCATCCGAGAGTGAACAAGAACGGTAATTTATAATATAAACCTGTTTTGTTTTCTTCAGCTTAATGGACATGATAAACGCGTACGCGTAATCTATATATGTTTAAAGTTCACTCTTTGCGTTACATAATCAAGGAATTAGACGACTAGTGACTGACATGAAGAAGAGCACTTGGAAAGGATAGAACGTAAGTAATTGTTTCGTTTATTTTAAGTTTTGATTACCGTTTCTTAAGTACTTGCATCCGGATTGTTTTATTTAAAATGATACTTTTGAACAGATAAAACTTGAATTGTCAATCACCAATGAAGCTGAAGTATCGACAGTTAAATACAACCTTCTTACAGAGCATCGCATACAATAATGAAGTATTGTATTTGATGGAAGTTAAAAGCTCATCCTCTTATAAACATAAACGCTTTACCCTCCCTCAGTAGTATTTTATTTCTTTACTACTGCCACGAATAATAATCGCTATGGTCGATAAATCTAAGTCCACCTTTGTTCATCATATACATTACTTAGCTGTGCAAGAATATTTAATGATCTGCCAACTGGTTCTTCTGGCAACAATTATCTTTTGCCTCTAGAATTAATCTTTTGGAGGAGACAGGTGTTTAGTTTCATTCTTAATTCCTAATTATTTTAACTACGTTGTAATTATATCCCTTATTTTCAAAAGAAAAAATTACATATCAGACCATCAAGTATTAGAAACGAAAAATAATTCAATTATTTTTTTACAACTTTACATTCTGCTCATGAAACTTAATGTCGCCAATACGACAATATCGTCCTCAAAGGGTTAATAATTTTTTCGACTTCAGTTAATTGGTACTTACGAACTTCAGCTGTCACGAAGCCCGCGACAGCCGCGAAGATCAGCAGCACTTTGACAAACATAATCGGCTAGCACTGTCTAACAAGGCGACTCGTTTTTCCGAGGATCTTACGAGGAAACGTCCGTCCTCCTGCACGAGATCGGCACTGATCTTTTGTCATCTCACAGTCTTGTATATATAGCTTTGAGGATAACACCGCGTTGCATCGTGAACAATTCTGAATCACTTGAGTCCATGGCCGTGATCGTAAGCTGGGTTTCTTCCTCCCAAGAGAGTGTCCTCCCTACCCTCGTCATTAATGTCTAACGAAGTTAGCAGTGTCATAGCAATTATTTAATATGTCACATCGATTGAACTTGTGTTTGTTCAACACTTCTCTGCAGCGAAGTAAACTTAATTATGTTTTTCAACAAGGAGGATCAATCCTCTCAACATTTTGAATATCAGTTTTCTTCAGCACAGGTTCATTATATCGATATTCTGGAGGTGTCATAAATCTAGTCTGATGTCGACAAATAGAAATGATGGAAATTGATTGGGATGATTTTCTGGTAAATACCTTCGTTGCTTCGTTGATTAGGTGACTGGTTCCGTCAACTGGCTCATGGGAATCTGCATTTACATAAATATACATAGCTATATAATTATAACATTTCGAATGAAACATTCTAAGTGGTTCGACAGCTCAGATAGAACTTTGAATGTGTTCCGCTTTAAAAATACTTTGCTTTTTTTCAGATTATATGGTTGATGAGAAACAGTTAATAGTTAATTTCTCGGTTATCTGTCTCCGAGTCTGAAATTAAATGAGCTTTACAAATACACAAATTTACAAATTTACAAATTTACAAATTTATAAATTCGCGAGAGAGATTCGCTATTATCTAAAATTGAATCATTAACATCTTCATATATTAAAGCATGTATACATAGGAGGGACATTGATTGTTTCATTTTTTATCTCACCATGCACCGATATTATTGATGCATACGAAATGGATTTCCTGCTTTTTCTTCCGATCTTATCGTGATCAAGGGAAGGTCTTCTTGTACGTAAAGAATCGTGTTTAATGAAAACTAGTGTAGGACTGATTTCCTTAATTAAAATGAAATAGGATTTAATGTAGATTATATCTCTATTTTTTAATTTCTTATGTAACTGCCGATATCACTTTTTCAAGCCCATTTTATTTTCTGTCCCTTCAACGCCATTCGAAAATAATCGAATAACGTTTGCTTTCGTCATCTTGGAAGTTTTCGTCTGCGAAATGCGCAGAATCCTGCTCTTCCATTCCGAAAACAGACGAGCTCTCCGACGCAACCGACGTCATTCCGGTCGCTCTATATTTTCTACAAATCAGGCCAGTGAGAGGCAAGGTCAACTTTTGCAGCGTTTTTGTTTTTGAAATTCCCCTTTGAGAAGTGTGGAACAGGTTCTTAATTTTTCCTCCGTTAATCGTTAACAAATATTTTTAACAGCCCGACTGTCGTGTCACAATTTAGGAGACAAAGAGTGAATTTTGTATTTAAAATCAAACAGGCTTAAATTTCATCTAGAATGTTATACAGCTTTTCTCACACGCAAATAAACAGCATGTAATACTATTGAAAAGAAAACAAGAAAGACTTGCCATTGTTGTTTTTCCCTAGAAAGTTTAAACCTCGAGACACTTCCATAGAACGCTTCGGATAACCTTATTTGTCCTCCATGCAACTCTCGACTTAACCGCCATCTTGAATTCTTTGATCCTGAATCTTCGCAATGAAAAACGTGATTTATAATGTTTTCGTTTTCATTCAAAAATAAATAATCTTTGAATATTTTAAGAAGCAGCTTCGTTTACACATTCAGGATCAGACAAGTAAGATATTTTGAATATTTTCCGACTACTGGAAAAACTACCTTCTGATGTTCTTCGTGATTAATTACTAAAAAAGAACTTAATGATCTTGTTATGTTGCCTTCCGTTTCATTCAATAAATTGTTCAGCCAAAGAAATGACAGTAAGAGTGTGACGTTGCCGTTGCAACATCTCTCGACGATTTAACTCGTCGAAGTTGAACCGTTAACTAGGCTCCGTGGCGTATTTTATTACGGATCGTAGGGTTTTCGATCGGTTTGTCGTTCGGTCCTGCATTTTACAACTTTCGCTGTACTTTAACGGTATCGTAAAAATCATGGAAATTGGCGCGGGCAAGTTTTTGCCCGCACCGAATCCTCGATGGAGTGAGGGGAGGAATGCTGGCTTCGTAGATCATGAGAATTAGCTGTCGTTCTTTCGCAACGTACATCATTTTTCGCTGCTTTCTCCGAGCAGAGCCGGGCAACCATGCTTTCTGTTCCTGAAATGTGCAGAGATCAACATTAGCCATAAACTTGACAGCGCTACCACGGTGCAAATATTCGTATTCAATACTAAACTCACTGTTTCTTGGGAAACTGACTAAGAAAACGGTAAAACATTGTTTTGTGGGAGACAATGCAGACAAAATATAAAGCAATTGCTTGACAAAGGTGTGTAAATGTACTCAGTGAACAATGGTAATAATTCAATGGAGATCTATAGATCTATAGATTAACAGACCTAACTAAAACTAAACAGAAACTATTATAAAATTTATGTAGAGTCAGAAGCTATTGCAAATCTTAAGATGACAAAAATATTTTCAGAGAACCACAAGAAAGATTAGAGGACTTGCGTGGATTTTAAAAGTTATCTCTTTGTGTCCTAAAAATACTTTAAAGCATCATTTTAATTAGAATACTGTCATTAACTAAATAAGTACGCATAATCCAAATAGAAGATCCTCAGAATTTTCGAAGGTTTGAAATCCTTTAAAAGTTTCTTACAGGCTTTTAAAGTAGAATAAATTTTACAATGAAATATATTCTCTCTACAAATTTGATGCATATTTAACAATCCATGTATTATCATACACTTTCTAATTTACCTTATTCACAAAGAATCGACGAAAATGTCACAGCTGCATCCTTATATCTTGAAATACCATCTCCAAGCACAGTGACTGAAAGTCATGATGCCATTTCACGGTTTTCCTGAAACTTGTTCCCTCCGTTCATAGTTCACTTGACTTTTGTATAAATCCGTCGGCGACACGGTGCCAAGACCAACGTTCGTTTAAATGACACAAAGTAGAAATGGTAACGGTGACATTAACTCCGCGGATTCATTTAATGTCGCGTCGCCAGCGATCAAGGACGTTCTATCGGAGATACAACATTTTTCTGATTTATTTTGTAATATCAATTTGTAATATCAATTGCAACTTTACATTGCAAATCGACAAATTTCGGACGACATCTTAGGTTGTAATGTGAACAGAACGTTACTAGTTGATTAATTATGCAATTCATTTCTGCGAAACTAGATTATGTCGTTGATGACTAATAACAGGCAGGTAATGCAGAAAATTAAAATAATTGCTTGTATTTATTTTCAGATTGTTTGATGGAGACTACCTTGTCACAGGAATTATTAATATTTCCAATTATTAATGAATTAGTAATCAATAAAAATTAATTCACATTTATTACACGTTTGATATTTGCATGTTCCAAGGTGATATCAACGAATGTATCGATTTCGATTTTCATCGATTTCACGTAGAAAACGAATGCGCACATTAAGAAGCAGACCTTGTTGCATCATCGAGTTTTTCTTCACTAATAAATGGTTATTTTACCATTCACTTATCCCCTCTAAAGTTACCTATAAAAGTCCGTTAAGATATTCAAATTATTTTAATTCCTTGATGGAACGTACACTTCCCAGAATCAAAGTCGTTTTCCACAGGACACTGATAAAATACCCACGTTATGCTTAACGTAATCAATTCTCTTAACCACTCCCTTAATCAAATAAATTCCTCTTTAATTCCTACAACGAAACAAGAGACAAGGTAGATAACAAATAAAACAATAATCGATACTTGTTACATCAAGAAGTTTCTAGTTGGTATCGACTTTACGATCAACTAGAAAAATCAAACATAATTTAACTTCCAATCTAATTTCAAACTGTTACCATATTAAGATAGTATATCATCCCGTTGAACAATTCCTCGTATAAGCAACTGTATCTTTCCAATAATTATAAAAAAAACAGAAATCACGAATTAATCATTTAGTGTGTACGCTAATCAAATAGTGTGTACACTCCACTCGCGGGTTCCCAAAATGTCAACGGAGTACTTGCCTAAATTGAGGAATGTAGATTTCCAGGGAAGGTGAGTGAAACGCAGCGAAACGCAACTGATTCGATGGCGATCCGCGAGTTACACCGTTCTCCATGCCGCCCGTCAACTTCGCCTAGCGAGTCACTAGCGACCCGGGGCTGGACCAATGACCGACAAGTGGCACGAGGTAATCAACATGCCGAATGCGATAAAGCAATGCCTACTGCACTGCTTGGGGGATTGCGGGTTAACATATCATCCCCGTCTTTCTGACGGCTAGTCGCCAAGAACCTCCGGACCAGCCGCGATGTACGCTCTTCTTGCTCGCGTATGGTACGACAGAGATCTTCTTCTTGTAGTGATCCACAAACCGCGGATGTTTCATGTTAATTCACGTTTCTCGATAACTAATTAGTCACACAAGAAGATTTCGTGAAAATAAGCAGTATATTTTGTTAAGAAAATGGTTAATTGAATTACAAATGAGAAGTTTATATTTTATAGTGCACTCGCCGATGATTTTCTGGCGAGAGCATTGACATCGGTGGTTTTTATGATCATTGGTGGTCTTTAGTTGGAGAATCGAATGCTTCGAGGGAAAGTTGATAGTGCGTTGTGTATAGCTGGAATATTGAATATTTTGGTATAAGAGTGACGTTGATTGGCAGTGCTACGATGTATTATACTGTGAAATGCTTAGCTGTTATAGTTGAGAACACATGTGTTTTTTCTTTTTATTTGGATATCTCTGGAAACGTTCGTTATAGAATGATAAACGATTTTTCAATCGAGATATTTGAGTTTTATACGATCGAAATTATAATTTCTTAGCGAAATTAGTCAAGGGTTGACTTACACGTCTCACGACAAATGGCATTCGAAGAGAACCACTTGTATCATATCCGTAAAAAATAACCATTTGCAAATCTTAATTAGTCATTAGCATCTCGAATTAATATTCATTCGCAGAACCGGAATGTAAACGTTTCCTTGAAATCGAAATAATAAGCACTCGAAAATATGATCACGGATGACTGTGAGACACGGAAGACAAATGTGTTGTAGCTGGAGAATGCATCGGTGGTGCAATAATACACTTCAGTCGCAACATTTTCTAGTGTCGCATAGGTTAACAGTACAAGTTTTTGCCACTTGTCGCGCAAGAATATACGATGCAAATGTATCGTGTGTATGACAATGCGATGTTTTATAAATTTAAGCCTCAGTGCGTTCGCAATTGCAAATACCACCACCGTGACCACCGCGGTATGCATTATGCAAAAGGATCGCATGTGTTCCAGTGTTTACAATCAACCTTGGCACTATTCGTATAAAGAGTTCCACAAATACGCAATCACTAAGCACACTGCCATTCATGAGTAAGGATCATTCTTTCATTCACTGGCCTTTGCTTCGAAACACTTGCCTTAACAACTGCCTCGCAATGTTTACAACTGATTCTTGATTCTTTTTCTGGTTCAGTGATTTTCCGAAATTTGAGAATTTAGAAATTATCCTTGATTCTCCGAGTAATCTTTTCACATCCGGGAACATGCGAAGACGTTTTGTAATCATGCACGATGATCTCACCATGAATTCCTAATGTATTCAAACAAATATTTAATGTGTTGTTAATATTTCCACCATCAGCGAGGTGCATCGATTTAGCATCTGCCTCAGTGTCACGGCGATGGTTGAATGAGTTGAGGAACCTGATTGTCAGCTGATCGTGAAAACATCAACCGCGGATATTGACTAACGATAAGCGTTGCCGGCCGGTTACAAAGTTAGAAATTAGTTAATGAGCGAGTAAACGGCCGTACCATTAATTTTTATGCTTCTTTCTAGCTTGACGGCGGCTCTGTTCTCCGCGGTTTCCGCATTGTTGCGTGAGTATCTAAAAAGCGCAGTGATTGCTTTACACTTTGCAGAACGATATATATTTTTCAATTAAAAAATATATCCTTAATTTCCATTCTGCATTGTTAACGATTTTTACATTATCCTAGTTTTCTAGTATTTGTTAATGTAAAGTATGAAAATACTGGTAATGCAAATATTGTAATATTGGTTAGTCTGAAATACGAAAATATTGGCAATATAAATATTGTAACATCGATTGAAGTAAAACATGAAAGTCTCTTCCTTGCTCTTTATCAATTCAAATGGTTGCGGCATTAACTTCAAGGTTTTGTCAATCCTTGCAAGAGATTGATATTAATCCCTTGGCCTATGATTTCTTTCTGAATTCTGATTGATACGGCTACTTTGTCATTAATAATTTATTGGAAAAAGAGAAAAATTCTAAACATATGTTATGCCTATATTCGCTTTTAAGTATAATATTTCATTACAGGGAAATAATATTTATATTTGTAAGAGTAATATATATATTTGTTGAATCATGTCGAAAATCTTCACCACGAGTCTCACTCGTTGTTGTAGGGCAAGGGGTTAAACGGTGCTTTCGAAATTTTATTTCAATATCGTTCGCGTAACGAGGGAAACAGATTCCTGTCACATACATTTCGATCAACCATTACAAAATCCGTCTACTACTGACACTTGAAAACGTGACTGCAGTGTCCTCGGGTTCGTTCGGGGTTCAGTCATGGCCGCAAATTCGTTGCACCCTGGATGTATCCAAGGACCAATCAGTACTTTGTATCGACAGATCGCAACCTTCAAATCAACTTGGAAGGTTAACGAGATGTTACTTATTATTGGACTGCGGATCTGTATACAAATTCAAATTTTTAAGAATATATTTAGGAAAACAGAGTTATGACAGAATATTATTTTTCCCAATAAACAGTATAAAAATAACTATGCTTTGGATATTTTGTATATTTTTTCGAATTGCGTATAATCTGTGCGATTTTGTACTTTTAATTTTCACATAAATGCATTAAAATCCGCAGTCTATTTACCATGTTGGCCACGCAGAAAAATTACATCAATTTTTATTAACTCGACTTTTTGGCGATTCTTGAAATACAATATGAAACATACTTTGATTAAAAAATCGTCCCATTTTTTCCCGATGTAATATTATTTAAATAACAGTGCATGGGGACTTTATTTGGTTCCCTTGTCAGAAATATGAAACATTAATTGTCAGAAATATTCGATTTTAGGGAGTAAGAAAGAACTTTTCCGAAAATTTCTGCTACAGACAAATACAGAATTGTAATTATAATTATATATGTGATTAATTACAGCTCCGTACATAAAACCGTGCAAAAAGAGCGATCCCGACATCAACAAATGTATTGTCAGGTCCATCGATCAGCTTCGCGACAAATTGGCCTCTGGGATCCCGGAACTGGAGGCACCCGCCATTGAACCTTTGAATTTGAAGGAAATTCGACTGTCGAGAGGACCGGTTGGAGCACGGCTTGATGTAAATCTCACGGATATGCAGGTAAAATTACGGCAGAATATTCCATTCATCATTGACTTGTCCCGATCGTTTCTGTTTAATTGCTACTTATCAAACATTGTTATGCACTCGAGGATCTTGAATAATAAGTGGAACTTGCGTTTTTTGATAAACTCCTGTGATATAAACTTGCTAATTATAGATCAAGCTAATCAATTGGGTAAATTTATAAAATAAATTTAAAACATTTGACATTATACTTCTATGACAATGAAAATGGAAATTTGATTCGATCCGGGTAACAGATTTCATTCTATTTGTTAGGTATCTAGATTGAAAACAGCAGAAAGAAATGAGTAAGTTCTAATTAAAAGAATAAAGATCTAATTGGTGTATATTGTATTTTGAACGATTAATATGAACTTAATTAAAGATATTATGAATTTAGGTGGCAGGACCCTCTTCGTTCAAAGTGCGTGATCTCGAAGCAGACGTGGAGAACGTGAAATTCACGTTCAAGGTATCTTTTGAGAAACTGAGCTTCCAGGGCAAATATCAGATAGACGCGAGGATCCTTCTGTTGCGGTTGGCAGGCCAAGGAGATCTTTCGGGGACGTTCAGTAAGATTTTATAAGAAATATACAAATTGTTCGCGAAAGTTATGCGACTGATAAGGATAACTTATTGTTTAGTAGTATTACGAACTGATATCCACGTAATGTATCATACCTTTTAAGCCGACTACGATTCCGATATTGTACTGAAAGCACGCAAAGTGTTAAGAGGCGGCGAGACCTATCTAAACTTCGAGAAGATGAAGATCAAAATCAAAATCGGCAAATCGAACTTGCACCTGAGCAATTTGTTTCGCGAGGACTCGATTCTAGGTAATCTACTTTTATTTTCGAGAAATGAACAGTGTTGATTGGAAAAAGTGTCAAATGGATTTGAATTTGAATACTTTCATCGAGAGAAATTGTAACTTGTACTTCGTGTATCAAATATTCTAGTTTCTTTGTCAATGCCTACTGATATTTTTCAAAATTTGAAGATTGAAAATTTTTATTTTTAAAATTAGGTACTGCCAGCAACGAACTACTGAACAACAACAGCGCGCTGCTAATAGACGAAATAACACCTGTACTGGAAACTTCATTGGCCGAACTCTTCACGGATGTAGCCAACAAAATCACCAAATCTTTCACCTACAAAGAATTATTCCCTGAAAATTGACACTATTAAACGCGATACTTCATCATCAATAGAGACCTTAGTTCTTCATTCGACTAAAATTATTGACTGCCAGTTTGCTCAAGTGCGCCAAAGAAGTTGCTTTGTCACAAGGAAAACATGATTCTTGGGAAGTTTCTGCGACAAGATGGCGGCTCGCGTGAATATCATAGAAATAAAACCTATTTCAAACAGTAACATCTTGTAATTAATTTTAAAAAAGTCAGAATACAATATCAAATGCGATGTGTAGTGAAATTATTGGGTTGATGCAAATGTTTTGAGTTTCCTTTATAAGAAATAAAAAGAAGAATTTTCAACTCGTCGCTGACTAAACCGAAACTAAATAAAAATGAAAAAAGAAGTGTCTTTTATACACATTATAATAGTTTAAAAATAGATGTTATTTGTTTCGAAGAAAAACAATTGTTTTTTTAAAAACGTACAAAAATCATCAACATTTTCGCATCAACCCAATAATTATTGAAATTTCTCATTTGATCGATTAATAACAGGGTTTTTTTGCGCGGTTTAGAAGTGTCTAGCTCATCAACGAAAAAAAAAGAATACAAATTCAAGTTTTTTACTGCTTGTTGAAGGAATCGGCGATTTCGCGAAAAAACTTCATTTAATATTAATGCTCAGAACTCGCAAAGGTTTGAAGCTCATTAACAATTGACTAGGGTTTACAATGACGCATACAGCTTGGAAATATCCTTGCAAATAATGAACGTTAGCGTTGATGAAACCAAATCAAATTATTTACGACACGTTTATTTGACACGCTATAGATAATATACAAGTAATAGATATGAAACGAAAGATCGTGCGATCAAAAGATCACTAGAATACTGACTAATAACAGCTAAATTCGAATAACGAATAAATAATTACTCGTACATTAATCACTTACAAATCTACATATAATAATCACATACATATGCATCGAGGACTTCGATGCTACAAATTAAATTTCAAGTAAAAAAATTATTCGCGATTGCTACGACCTGAAATAACCTAGTTAAA